AGTCAAGCATTTTGTGGGTCTGTATTGAAGTTATTCAGAGTTAGTTAGGGCCACCCATAAAACTGATAAGCAACTATCCTTGAAGGAAAAATATGTTTATGTTTTATGTTTGGGACATGTATTAAGACACCTAGGTCTTTGTTTTGATCAAGTATGGCATTTGTTCAAATAAGTAGCAAAAAATAGCAAGAGGGAAAGAGGAAAGGAAGGACTCAGAGGACGTGGAATCCCAGTATGCTGGCACATTCAGTGAGCCCTATTAAATATTACATGATGGTGATGATACCTTTTTGTGTGATATAATTCATTGTTTCAATAATTAATGTCACCAGTGTGCTTCCAAGAGTACCAAAGGTAAATAATTTACCGTAATTAACAAAGAAGGGAATGATATTATTTATTTATCAAACTTTTAAAAAATGTTTTTAAAAATACCCTCAGGCCTCAAATGTAAAATTTTTAGTTTGTCTCCATCACCATCACTACCACCAGTACATACATGTCTACATGCATACATACATACAGTTGCACCACTGCTTGGATTCAGTATTTAGCCCTAGTGTGAAAGTTAGTTTGATCTCCAAAAGTCAGTATAAATAATTGATAAACAAAGTCTGGCTAAAACTCACATCTCACCTTTGGCTTAACGCAGGATTTGAGAGCTTTCTGAAGTAGTGTATTGTTCTTTGGGGGTGAGGATCTTAATTCTGTGGACTCCCATTGAACTCTACTTAGTGATTGATTTTATTATCTTTAGTTGTTCAAAGGGGCTTCAATTCAACATGTCACTTTCTGAGTACAATGCTTCTTGAGCAGTGTTACCCCTTCCACCTTTCTTCCCAATCTCTGCCAACCCCGCCTATCACCTCAAGTTGTCTGTTTCATTTTCACATATATACGTTGAACAGTATTGGCTGTACTCACTTGCCCTTTCTCTCTCCACTCATCTGCCTTTCCCTCCCTTGACCTCCCCTCCATACCACCCTAACCCCAGCGCCAAACAACACATGTTTTTCAGCTTCCTGGTCCTATTAAACTCTTAATTGCACACCCTTCTATAGGATGGGTCCTCTCTCACTAAATGCTGAGAAAACTATTCTTCTTTTCATTTTTTTTCATTTTGCTTTAGAAACTATTTTTGAATCTGATTCTCAGGCAATCTTTTAAAATTTGTGTACTTTGGAGTAATTTTTTTAAAATAGACTTTATTTTCAGTTATATAAATAAAAATTATAGCTTTCTACTTCACTTTGAGGAAAATCTCTGCCCTCAGTTTCTCCTTTTCAGACACAAGTGCTTATAATACTTTTTTGATGATTTTTTTAGTTTGTTTTTATGTCTCTAATATATGTATTACACATATACTGAAATATATAATACTTTATATATATATATCTATATATATATATACACACATATATATGAAGAGAGAGAGAGAAAGACTGAGACTTTTCTACATTTCAGGAAGCATTTTATTGACCTCTCCAAACAGAAGATGACACTTTTAATTGTTTTCATACCTCTCTTCTACCATACACATTTCCCATCCTTCTATTTCCAAAAAGACTTGTGTTGATTTTGCTTGTATCAGTATTTTCTACTTATATTTTTATACTCACATAAATACTAGTCATGGAAATGGTATATATTGGGATTGTTTTTCCTCTTCAGTACATTGTTATTTTCCCTAGAGTTTTGTCTGTTGCTTAGTGGTCTTTGTACACATCACTAGTGTAATCCACAAATACATCTTCAATTATGCCCTCTAAATATCTTCATACACTTCATATCCCACTTAAGGTAGGATTTGTCACAAGTATGGAGCTTGAACTCAGAATCTCAAGCACTTGCTAGGCTTTCTTGTTCACAGTTGGCACTCTACCACTTGAGCTGTACTTCTCTTCTGGTATTTTGCTGGGTAATTGGAGATAGAATCTCTTGGATTTTTATGCCCTCCCGTCTGGCTTTGAACTTTGATCATCCAGATCTTAGACTCCTAGGAAGATAGGATTACAGGCCTGACCTACCAGTACCTAGCCACCCATTAGATATTTTAGTAGTAAGATCTGCTTAACTTTTCTGCTTCACTTTTGCTCCCACTTGTCAGGCTCCTTGAAGGCCCAATGCTCAGAAACCCTTCTTGGGTCTCCCTTTCATCACTATGAATTCCATCTTCTCTTCCTCTAAGCCTGCTCTCTTTGGGCTTAATTCTCCAATTTGGTGGCATACATTTTCAGTAGTTCTTGTGAGAATTTTTTTAAAGAAATCTAGATAGCTAGATTGCAGGTAGATAAATGATAAATTGCATTTTATCTAGGTAATATATGTGTATATGTACATATGTATGTATATTATATATATATTTGAAAATATTCTATTTGCACACCTGGTTTGCCTAGTTTGAGTTTCACATTGTTTCTTCATACAACAGTGATGGAATTGCTACATTTTCTTTACAGTCAACTTTTGCTCTTACCAGTGTGGTAGAAGTTTGTATCTGTGACTGCTTTTCTCTTCAGGGCCTGGGATTTCATGATATGCTGTAGCAGGATCTGTATTCATCACAGCGCTGCTCACTCAGTGAACCTTTTGTTTTGGGAACTTAGGTCTTTAGTTCTGGGAAGAAGAGGACAAGGATTCATACTTGAACCTGATCTTTTTTCTCTCTTTTTTTAGTAGGGTTTGAACTCAAGGCCTCGCACTTGCTAGGCAGGCATTCTTACTACTTTAACTGCATCCCTGCCCTTTTACCTTTAGTTATTTTTCCAGTAGGGTCACACATTTATCCCTGGACTAGCTTAGGCTGAATTCTTTATGTATACTTCCCAAGTAACTGGATTGCCAACCGTGAACTACCCACACCTAGCTTTTATTGTTCAAGATGAGATCTCAAGTACTTTTTTTGCCCAAACTGGCCTTGAATCACAATGCTCTGATCTTTGCTTCCCAAGTAACTAAAATAATAGGTAAAGCAACCACATCTGACCTCATCTCTAGCTACTAATGAAAAAATACAAGATTTGCCTAAAAAGACTGTTCACTCCACTTTTCTCTGTATGTTCGTTTATTTTAGTTTTCACATTAGTTACTCTTCTCAGCTGAATGAATAGTGGTTGTTGGCTATCTGTTCACTGATGAGCTCAGTAGAAGTTTTCTGTAAGGTGTAGAGCTTATCAGACATGATTTCCACTGAAGTAATGAGCCTAGGTAGTTGCAGTTGGCAAGTCAAAATCATCTGAAAGCTCCTGTTTTCTGCCTAGACAACGATCTATCCTGAACTATCTGTGCCTCAGAAGCTAGGAAAGGGAGAAGGCTAGGGTGTGAACATTCTGTCAAACTTCCATTCAACTCACATTTTCTGTAGAGTATCTCTGCCCTCCTAGTCTTCTGCCTCTGGTTTTTTCATCTCCCCTTTCTTTGTGTTCTTTATGACTTAAACACTGCTTTCTATATTTTCATCTTTCTCTCATTTTGTGTATTTTTCCATTTATGGTTCCAATTTACAAGCCCTGTTTCTCACTGTAAAACAAGAACAGATGATCCTTTGATTCTTTCATGTGTATATTCTAGAGTTCTGTTGAATCCCATACCTTTCATGTCCTCTCTTTTCTTCCCTCTGTTTTCTTAAACAAATGGATCATAGTTATTACAAAGTTCTTATTAGCTTACCTCCAAAGTTTTGATGGCCAGGGAGTCTGTTTACAGTGTCTTTCTGGTTCTGTTTTCTCTCTTAGTTTTTGTTTAAGTATTCTGACCATACTGGGAAATTTTTCATTTTCTGTTGGACATGTTAATGAGAAATTTACACCTGATAGTGGCATATTCCTCCAGAGACATTTCACCTAGAATTTGTTGAAATAAGATTGATTTGTAGCCAGGCACCAGTGGCTCATGCCTGTCATCCTAGCTACTCAGGAGTCTGAGATCTGAGGATCACAGTTCAAAGCCAGCTTTGGCAGGAAAGTCTGTGAGACTCTTATCTCCAATAAACCACCAGAATACCAGAAGTGACATTGTGGCTCAAGTAGTAGAGAGCTCACCTTGAGCTGAAGAGCTCAAGGATAGCACCCAGGCCCAGAGTTCAAGCCCACAACCAACCAAAAAAAAAAAAAAAGATGATTTGTAGCTCGAGTAACACTCAGACCCCTTCCAGTTTGTCCTGGCTCTCCAGTATCCTTATTTGAAATCCTGGTATGATCTATAACTCTATGTGCCATTATGAGTTCTAAACTCAATAATTTTCTCATGAAACTACTGTGAAAACTCTGTTATTCTTTGTTGGGGTGATTTTGGTTAATCTTCCAGCTTCTTGTTCTACTTGGCCCCAGAGTTCACCCATTAGTAGAAAATGATGGCATGCTTAAAGCCACCTAAATCTTCCCTAGTACTCTGCTGGTTTTCTATGTCTCAGCAGTGATCTATGTATGTACAAAGCCCAAATTATTACACTAGTAACTGACAAATGCCTCCAAGTTTGAAATGAGCCTGCCAGACATAATTCTGTTAGCTATTAGCAATTCTCAGCTGCCCTACACTGCAGTCAATGATAATTTCTTTCTTTATCTAGTTTTCTTGGCAGCAGCATTGGACTGTTGCTAGCAACATTGTCATTCTTGGAATCACAAGTTCTCAATATGCAATTTAAAATTTTTTATTTTGAGAATTGAATTTTGCAGCTATTGTAGGAATCATTGGCCTGTGTCAAAGTATGTAAAATCATTGGTCTTAGTTCTGCCATATCCTTTTTACTATGCAAATTACCTAGGGTGCTAAAAAGTCAAAGTAATTCAGTGTATCAGTAGTCTTTGCTCTGAAACTTTAATGTAGACCTACAGAGCAGAATTTACAAATTCTTTCCTTTGAATGTTGTCTGTCTGGACTTACTGAGAAATAAGTATCTAAATGTATTTGAACTTATAAATACAAAATATGCTTTATACGTATAGGGAATGCCCTTTTCAGGTGGGCTGTTGATGTAATGTACTGTTTTTCTTTTCCAGCATCTAACATTCACAAGGGAATTTGATTCAGATTCTCTGAGACATTATAGCTGGGCTGCGGACACCTTAGACAACGTGAATCTTGTCTCGAGCCCTGTTCATTCGGGGTAAGTAACTTCAGTTTCTCCTATATCCTCCTAAATGAGCAATGCATTTATTATGTACAGTTATAAATTCTACTAATAAGTTTCATATTGACATATTCACATATGAAATGTATACTCATTCGTAAATATGTACTCATTAGTAACATGCATGCATATGTAAGTCGTTTGATAAATATTTTTTTAGGCAAATTGATATATTCCTGAAGGCATAATTGGGAAAAAAAAACGAATGGTATGACAAAACTTCCTACTTAGTCAGATGTTTAAGCCATTAATTTGCATTTCCAATTAAAAGGTAAAATTACTTTTCTTCACATTGCTAGTTAAATGAAGCTTCGTCCTTCCTAATAAAAATTTAAATGTGTAATAATTTCTGTTCATTTCTCTCACCTATGTTGTACTCCACAATATGTAGAACTTCATGCAGACATTTAGCTTTGAATTGAATCAACAGTGCCTTCATCTGGGCATCAGCATTTTATTTGATAAATGATTTGATTTGTGTGATTATCCTTTAAGGAAAAAAAAACAAAACTCCAACTACTGAATTTACAAGGAGTCTGAAATCTAAAGATCACTATTCAAAGTCAGCCAGGGCAGGAAAGTCCATGAGACTCTTATCTCCAATAAACTACTGAAAAGTCAGAAGTGGAACTGTGGCTCAAATGGTAGAGTGCTAGCCTTTAGCAAAAGAAGCTTGCCCTGAGTTCAAGTCCCAAGACCAACATATACACACACAAAACCTTCCCAGTGACAATTGGGCCCCCCTACATTATTAAAATTAAATAGCAGTTAAGTTGTATTAAGTTATAAAGAGAAAAGGGAATGAATTTTAAAGGAAAATAGAGAAATCCACTGTTAAAAAGTTACTCTGCAGAGGACCAGTGGCTCATGGCTGTAATCCTAGCTACTCAGGACGCTGAGATCTGAGGCTCATGTTTCAAAGGAAAATCCTGGAAAGTCCATGAGATTCTTCTCCTCAGTTAACCAGCAAAATGTCAGAAGTAGAGGCCTGGCTCAAGTGGTAAAGCATCAGCCTTGAGTGAAAAAGCTATATATATGAATGACAATCCTGTAAAAATCCCATCAAAGATGCTCTCTGTGGCCACCTCACTGGCCACTGAAATGTGAGGCAAGAGTCTAAATGGTAACCAATTCATAATTGAATTGGTACTAGATTCTTTTTTTTTTTTTGGGTCCAGTCGTGGGGCCTGAACTCTGGGCCTGGGTGCTGTCCCTCAGCTCTTCAGCTCAAGGCTAGCACTGTAACACTTGAGCCACAGCACCACTTCCGGCTTTTTTCTTATATGGTGCTGAGGAATCGAACCCAGGGCCTCACGCATGAAAGGCAAGCGTTCTACCACTGAGCCACCTTCCCAGCCCCTAGATTCTTAACCAGTAAGTAATTCCTACTTGTGATATTTGAGATCTTTATAGACAGGGTGAAAATAATTTGTTTAAAGTATAAATACCTCAACATATTTTTGCCATTGACATGGACTGTTAGGCTGTAAATTAGCTGTAATCAAGGAGAAAGGAAGACTTAAATAAGTTAATGATAATTAGCATTTATGAAGTACTTTCTTTATGTGCCACTTGTCCTTAAAATAGATCAAAATAGCTAACATTTACTTAGTTCTTTTCATGTAACTGGTTTTATGCTAAGACTTTTATTTATATCGTCTCATTTACTGTTTGAGGCTTCAAATGGCATGGCAAGACAAATTTTACTCATTATCTTCATTTTACAAATGAATGCTATAGGCAAAAGTATAAGTATGGAATTTACCCTCTGATGCCACAGTTACGGAAGGACTTCAATGCAATGACATTTAAATAGCAATAATACACTTGGGAGAGGCTCATCGACTGTAAGTCACCTGGTAGTTTTTGGTGGTCTTTAACAATGCACTTAACTCAGACAAATCCTTGAGGTACTATAGTAATACTATTTTTAAGTTGCCTAAGATGTTTGTTTTATATTACATTTGTGTGGGCCTAAAATTTTTTGTCCAAGCCCAAAGGAAAATCATAAGATTTTTTGCTTTTGTTTTTAGGTTTTTTTGTTTTTTATTTTTTTTGAGAAAGGAAATATAAAACCCTTGGGGTACACTCAGAAGACTGACATGTCAACTTTTTAGCTATCAGGTTTGCTAGTATGAAGTTATCACTTTGTACTCTACACATGAAAGAAATACTCTGTGGTTTCATTCAGTAAACTGAGAAGTTGAGAAAAGATCATAAAATCAGAAAGTTATTTTCTCATGAGCCCTTAAGGGTAGGTAACTTGTGTCTAAAATACTAGCTACTCAGGAAGCTAAGATCTGGAGGATGATGGTCAAAGCTAACCCAGGCACAAAAGTCTATGAGAGCCAGTGTCCAGATAACTAGCCAAAAACCAGGATTGGGGGTGTGGCTCAAGTAGTAGAATGCCAGCTGAGCCATCAAGTAAGAATGGGAGGCCCTGAATTCAAACCCTGGCACTGGCAAGAAAGCAAACAACGAAACAAAGTAAAAGAAGGAAGAGAAGGAGGGAGAGAAAAGAAATGAATGTTCCCATTGGAAAGGATAAATATTTTAATATGCAAGTTATCTCCCCTCTCCTTGGAACTTCTGTTGAAGACCATAGACATATATGACAGAACAAAATAATGGCAGCTAGTGTGGGCTTACTTTCCAAGGAAAAGAGAAAATACTACACCAATGTCAGCTCTTTGGAATAGTTTGTACAGCCACTTGAGGCTGTATAATACTTTCCCAGGTTTCCCCACAAATGCCAAATGCCATGGTTTCATTTTCTAATGGTTTTTATTTTCTTTGCTCGTCATTGACGTTTTCTGTTGCTTGCTTCTAATTATCTTACATTAATTTTTCCCATTTGCTTTCAAATTATTTTGCAGCTATTCTTCTCCACTTCCTCAGTATGATTCAAGGTGATAACTGTGTATTTTATGTGAACCCTCCTTTTTTTTTATAGTTTTAGTTTATGTGACTTTATTTCACAGTTAGCTTGTGTCACTGTCTGTAGTATATCAGTGTTTGTCATCTTGCTTTTCCCCAAACTAGAAACCTTCACATATCAGTTTTAGGATCATTTGTAGAATTCATGCTGTAGTTTGAATATTAATAAGATAAAAATACAAAATAAATATCACTTTAATACATTTCTATTCATTTCAAAAATTGTATTGCATGAAGTTTTTTGCACAAAATATGCAAGGAATGAGTTTGGAAAGTAAATCACTATATTCCACATTTTATAATGATATTGTAAAATAGGACCATATTCTGTTTAATATATAATTCTACCTTATTTCATTCTGTTCGCCCTGTGAAGTTGAAAACTTTGAAATGATAAATGATTATTAATGTGCACCAGCCACACATTGTGTGCTGTGCAAAACATGGAGACAGTTTCTTCACCTTTGTAACTGAAATCATCTGTTACATTTGGTGCATTTGGTTTTGAAATTCTTTGTAGCTAGGATGTTTTAATATTGATCCTAATAAGTTTCTCACACTACTTTCAGACTGTTCAGCTACAATTACTATATGTCTATGTCTATCCATTCACCTGTTAGTACTATTAACCTGTGAAGTTTCTAAACACATATAAACAAAGTAGTTTTACTTGTGGATTTATTCATTCAACATCAGTGCGTGCTTATTGTGTGCTGGAATTGTGTTTGGCCCTATAGGTCAAGCAGTGAATAAGACAGTCCTAATCCAAATCTCTGTCCAGATAGTTGAGACCCAACATTGCCAGGGCAAACATTCCCCTCCCAGGAAAAACACTGCAATGTGGGTTTGTTTTTTTTTTTTGCTAATATAACCACATTTTTTAAACTTATTCTATCTCAAGTCATTTTTAATCTATTCTGTTGCTATTATTCCCTGTGACAATTGATTTTACTTATTAAATACAGAGCAAAATCAGATTTCATCTTAGGGTTCTTTGTAATATTGTCTTATTGCCTTTAGCGGTAACTGAAAATACTTTACATAAACTCAATATAGCTATACATTATATACATATAATATATATGTTCACATCTTGAGAAATGTAAGCAGCCCAGAGCAAGTTTAAGTGAGCATAGGAAAGAATTGGTGTGGACACTATATAAGTTAATATCTTTCTTTGATTAAGGAAGAGTGGTTGTAATTGTCTTCTTGTTTTTGAGTTAGTCTTTACCTTCTTACCTTAATATCACTGAGCTCCCAGTTTCTCATATATAATAAACCAATCCAGAGCAAAACTTGTCAGATTTAAAAGTGAGCCAACGGTGTGAAGGTGAGTTCATCTTACTCATGAGCAGAGTTGCTTCTGAAAAATTCTTAGCCTCCACATCATCCTCACCACCTCTCTCCGTGGGAGTTACAGGCTGTTTGTTTTTTTGAAGAAGTTTCCAGTTCAGAGTCCCTCCTCAGAAAACAGTCCTCTGCTAGGAAGTCCATTCAAGGCCTTCAGATTTACCTGTAGGATGCTAGCACTGTTTTTAGATGAATAAATAGAAAAGAATTTTGATGGATGGGATTTCTTTTCCCAAAAATACTTTCAGACTTCAAGCAACTTTCTAAGCATAACTATTGGGTGCTATCTTAGTAGTAAGTAGATCTACCGATGTGAAAATGAAGAGTGGAAGGATATATGTTCTTCTTGACAAACTGACATGCTCCTTCTGTCTGCAACAGTGTAGGGCCTGCTCATCATTCATGATAAGATGTAAGATTCAAAATGCTCTTACTCATATATGGCACGTTTTCTTTCTACTGCCTTACCTACATGCAGATACATGTTTTTCTAATTCGTTCTAATATCCAGGCCAATGACCGAATTATCTACTTGAGAGACAGGTTCTAAAATGACTTAAGTTCTACTTCTTGTATTGCTGTATGAAATATTCAAGTGTAAGTTATTTTAAGCCTGTATTCATGCTGAAAAGAATCCCTTTCCATCAAAATTCTCTTAACAATTCTAGTCATTTTTTATTTTTATCTTCTGTTTCATCTTAGTATGGTTAAGTATCCCTTCATTTTATGAGTTATGTATGTCAAGGTATACTGTGGAGTTTTCATCTTACTTGTACGGGACAACTTAATAATTAAAATGATTCTTCAAGATACCTTAACCATTCACAGTATTTGAGTTTTGTTTTAAGCACATGGGGGTTCTTTCAATGACTAGTTTTTATTTTTATTTTTGAGATACTCACTTCCATGTGTGCATCTGATAAGTAATAGCATTGGGGAAGCCAGTCTCTTAAAATGAAATCATGTTTCAGTTTTTGCCCAGTGCGCCAGTTCAATGCAGGTCTGATGTGACTCCACCGTATTTCCTTCCAAGTTATCTTTAATAAGAAAGAGAAACAAAAAGCTAGCTACATTGTCTATTGCTTTCAACTCTTCACATTCCATTTCAAAGCCTGTAGAGGAAGTCTGTTCACTTCTCCTGATTTCGCGTTTGATCCTCTCCCTGCAGATTTCTGGTTAGTTTCATGGTGGATGCAAGAGGTGGCTCCATGCGCGGAAGCCGTCACCACGGGATGAGAATCATCATTCCTCCCCGCAAGTGTACGGCCCCCACCCGAATCACCTGCCGTTTGGTAAAGAGACATAAACTGGCCAACCCACCCCCCATGGTGGAAGGAGAGGGATTAGCCAGTAGGCTGGTAGAAATGGGTCCTGCAGGGGCACAATTTTTAGGGTAAGTGTTATTCATTTTCATCTTGGCCCTCTTTCTACATCTTTGATTTTCTTTACCCTTGTCAACTCAAGGAGTTAACTTTTAGAACAATCTAATGGGTCTGTTGTCAAAGGGCACAAAGCAGTGTGATTCTGTGAAAGGCTAAGAGGCTAACACTTCCCCTAACTCAGTTTGCTGGTCAAGGCTTTTACTAACAAGAAGCATGTTCTCTGCTCAGCCAGCTCCATTGGTCCCCAGTGGAAGTCAAGGCACCATTCCTAAGGGGAAAAAGAAAACAACAAACCAACCACAATACAGATGCTGGATTTACTATCACTTCACTGAGTCAGTGGCTACTTTGGGGACATGTCCTTTTAAAGAGCATTTCCAGGGACATAATCCATTGTGATATGGTATTTTACAAGAAGACTTCGTTCTCTGAGGTGGCCACTTGGGTGCGAGTCAGGCAGGCTCTGTCTTGACTGCCAGTGTGTTCACATCTCCCCTTCTTGTTTCTCTTCCTGCTGCATGGATGTTATTCAGTAAACTGCATCTTCCTACCAATCCTCCCCCTGTAAATGAGGGTGAGAGCCTGGTTAGCCGAATCCTGCAGCTTGGGCCTCAAGGAACAAAATTTATTGGGTAGGACTTTTATAGACAAGATACAGAATGTCTACAATTATTTTTTTCCCCATTTTCGTTTCTTTTTTTTTTTTCTGTCACACCCATGGTCTTTTTCTTGTCTTAAGTTTATATTTTTAGTTTTTAAGTTTTTTTCTTTTTTTTTTTTTTTTTTAATGCTTTCAGTCGATGTGTGTCACTGAAAGAAAAGACTCATAATGGCTTGACTTATTGTGACACTGCTATATTTCTTGTGCTGTTCAAGCATGTGGAACTCACGGCAAGCGTTTTGCTTTCATAACTTTGTGCTTCTGTAAGACTTCCTTTTATTTGAAAATTTTCTTTAGCATATGATCCATTTTCAAGCTAGATTGAGTCTTTAAGAGAAGGTATTTGCAGGCTTTACATCAATATTGGCTATAAATGATAACTATATGTGTATGTATTTGTCTCTGTGTGTGATTGGATCGTTAAAAAGAAAATACGCTATTCTGTAATCTTTGGGGGACTTAAGAAGAAAATGTCACCATGAAGTAAGATGATTTTGGAAAAAAATGTTGGGAATGCAAGATATTTATACATTAAATAGGTTACAGACAGAATATCCTGATAAGTTGTTAAATTGTTTTATTTCTGTCTTGTTGGAGCTGAAATGTGTTGGTATCTGTTGTTTGTTGGCTTGTCTGTTTGATTGTTGTATGTGCCTGGCAGTTTGCATGAAGAAACTTGTTATGAAAAGTTATGCTTGGCTTTTCCCTTTCAAAAACCTTGTTCATATCTTCTCTCCAGTACCACCAAATGTCATACACCAAGCCACATCCCTTAAATATTTACAGAGACAGTATCTGAAATGGTAACCTGCAAAGATTGTATCTGATACTCAAAAAAATATCTACTGTTTAATATCAAATTATAAGGCATGGTTAAAATAAAAAGACTAGTACATTCCATAACTTATTGACTGACATTTGAATTGAAACCCCTTTGTACAGCTACTTAAAGGATTTTTTTAAGTTCTAATAAAAAAGAATGACACTGTTAGGAATAGATGCTTTTTTTCTAGCTATTAAAGAATAAAGGTATTATGAAAATTATCTTTAAAATCCTAATTTGAATTGCCTGCAACTAGTTTGCCAAAAGTAAAATTATCATCCCCATTTAAATGGGTATTTTCAAAAGAAAAAATTTATAAGAAAAATTAAGTATGCAATTGTTTTTATATATGTGTGTAAGCTTTTCAAGTATTCCTTTCTATATGTCCCTACATAAGCCTGTATCTTCCACTGAAGTGCCTAAACCCATAGGTTCAGAGGTGAGGTTCCATACAACCTCTGTAGGACGATAATGATACTGTCTACTTAAATGTCATCAAATAAAGCTGCACAATCCAACGGCATAAACTGTGTGTGATTGTGGTCTGCTTACTTCCATACATCTTTTTTCAGTATTTATCCCTTTGGAAAATTTAACAAAATGATCACCCATGGCTTGATTGGCTGTCTTCAATTGGCACCCATTCTTTTGTATTCCTTTTGCAAAAGGACACTGTCAAAAATGAATGTGTCTTTACATGACTATTTGAAACCAAATACTTTTTCAGAAAGTTCAACTATGCTTGTATATATTATGTTAGACCTAGGAAATAAAGCTGTCCACTGCCTAGTTATAAATTGAAAATTGGAGAAACTGCTTTAACTACACAGTCCGTGGAAGTCATGGAAAATGACCTATAGAGGGAGTGAGTTGTTGATATTGATTGTCTTATTGCTGAAGGAATAAGTAAAGCATCTTTCCAATTAGGAAACTGACAGAATTTTTTTTTTTTTAAAGAAATGACTGTGTCCTTTTAAATCATTAGTGTTTTGTATATTATGTCTATTGGGTTTTTTTTTTAACAGAATGACCTTTTTATCAAATGGCCTACTTTAATAACTTCTAACTTTTTAATTCAGATTCCTCATATGTGCCAAAATTCTCTCCCTATTAAACCCAATGCCTAACATTGCTAGACCTTCAAGAACTGTCTGGGAATGAATAATAGCATGTTATCAGGCTTCTAAAGTGTTTTATTTAATTAGCAAATGATTCTGCAGCTTTGAAACCATTCCCAACCTGAGTGGCACCTCTAATTTTCAAATTAATACCATTAACAAAACATTTTTTTTAGTGTGATGCTATAAATAATCTTTAACTTGGTATCAAAATAATGTGGGTTTTTTTTTCCAGCCCTGTCATAGTGGAAATCCCTCACTTTGGTTCCATGAGAGGAAAAGAGAGAGAACTCATTGTTCTTCGAAGTGAAAATGGTGAAACATGGAAGGAACATCAGTTTGACAGTAAAAATGAAGACTTAGCTGAACTACTCAATGGCATGGATGAAGGTAATCATGGGGACCCTTTGATACTGTGAATGTTTGCAGACAAGTCCACAGAGTGATTTTATTCAATGCAGACCTGAGTTCCTCACATTTGTATTTTAAAATGGGAATCGAAGATGCCCAGCATTTATTGCCAGTTTCTCAATAAGGTATGAAATTCTGTCCATTCAACAAACTTCCCACTCACAGCCCAGCTAGGCAAGAAAGAATCTTGTAGCCGGGCACCAGTGGCTCACACCTTTAATCCTAGCCGGGCACCAGTGGCTCACACCTTTAATCCTAGCTACTCAGGAGGCCGAGATCTGAGGATTGTGATTCAAAGCCAGTCAGAGCAGCAAAGTCCTCGTGACTCTGATCTCCAGGTAACCACCAAAAATCAGTAGTGGTACTGTGGCTCAAAGTGGTAGAGCACTAGTCTTGGGCAAAAGAGCTCAGGGACAAGGACTAGTCCTGAGTTCAAGCCCCATGACTGACCAAAAAAAAAAAAAAAATCAATGATTCATTCCAGTTTTTTTATTTGATTTTGGTGTGCATGTCTGTGTCCATTTGTCTGTGTCTATCCATCCATGCATCTGTCCATCTAGAGGCTTGAACTCAGGGCCTGGGCCCTGTCCCTGAATTTTGTTACTTAAGGAGTCACAGCTTCATATCCAGCTTTTTGGTGGTTAATTAGAAATAAGAGTTTCATTGATCTCCTTGCCTGGACTAGCTTCAAACGGTGATCCTCAGATCTCAGCCTCCTGAATGGGATTACAAGTGTGAGCCATTGGCACCAGGCCATTCTTTCAGATTTCAATCAAATTAATCAGTCCTTCTAAAATCCAAGAAAGTGATGCCCAGTAGAATGTGTTGATGATGGAAATGTCCTGTGCCAGTGCTGTCCAAATATAGCAGTTGCTAGTCACACATGGTCCTTGAACATTTGAAATATGACCATTATAACTGAGGAAGGTAATTTATAATTTTGTTCTATTGCCAAAAGTGATGTGGTCACTGGTGACCTAACTAGAAAAAAGACATTTTTACCAAGAATACTTAATATACTAATAATCTCTTCCTCTTTTTTTTTTTTTGTCCCAGTATTGGGGCTTGAACTCAGGCCTTCGTGCTCTTGCTTACCCTTATTCCTGAAGGCTAATATCTACTACTTGAGCCACACCTCTCCTTCCATTTTTTGATGATTAATTGGATTTATCTGCCGTGGGTGGGTTCGAACATATTTACATCTCAGCCTCTGGAGTAGCTAGGATTCTAGGCATGAGCCACTAGTAATCGTATTTTTTTTAGCACATTTTATAATATGTTCTACTATGCAAAAGTAGAATTTATTAAACTTCAGGGGTCTATAGTAATGTACTTCCTTGTTTTCAAGCTGATGTGCCTTCATTTTTTTGTTTTTACAATAAACCAATTTTCAAATAGAAATAAGTTCTGTTTGCTCAGAGAAATAGTACCCTACCCAGTGCCACATGGAAGACATCGCCAAACTGTTTCTTTTTAAAGAAACAGTGATATAACCCTCTGTCCTGGATTCTGTGTGGTATCTTGGGAATGGTAAATATAGAGTTCCTTTGCTACATTTTTCAAGATCAGATAAACTTTGGTTCCATTTTAAACAATTAAGAAGGAATGGTAAGTACTTCCAGGTTTAAAAAAAATCAACCATTAGAAGCTGCTAGAGCAAAAAAAAGAAAAAGAAAATTTTATGTTTTTATGTATTAAATATAATAATAATAATGGGACCTCAACACATTTTGTTACTGAAGCTCAACCCAGTTTCATTCAAGCTCAAGCTCCACTTCCCACCTTTCTTTTCCAATCCCCAAAGGCATTTCGTTCTTATCAGAACATCCCCTCCTCCTCTCCCAAATCAAACAAACACAGAAATCAGTCTTTTTCTAAAAAGGTAGCCTGTGCTATTCCTTTGTGATCCAGTTAGTCAAGTTCTGGCAGTGAGAGGAGATAAGGCTATGTAGGCATTTCAGTGCTTTATGTTCTTTTCTTGCCAGTGACCCTCCTGATTTTGCTACTCAGTGGATAATTGTTAGCAAGATAAAAACAGTACACAAAGCAAACCAGAAGTCAGCTTTTCATTCTACCATTATTGTATTTAACATAGGAAATTGCTCTAGCTTCTCATACTCAAGCATCATCTATCATCTAAAGAGCTAATGACCACTGATACTGCCTGTCATATTGTAACTGTTTCCCTTTTGGTTTTGTTTTTTTTTTTGCCGGTCATGGGGCCTGAACTTGGTCCCGGCGCTGTTCCTCAGCTCTTCAGCTCAAGGCTAGCGCTCTACCACTTGAGCGACAGTGCCACTTCCGGCTTTTTCTGTTTATGTGCTGTTGAGGAATCGAACCCAGGGCCTCATGCATGCAAGGCAAGCACTCTACCACTGAGCCACCTTCCCAGCCCAACTGTTTCCCTTTTAAATGCCACTCTATATCAATGAATTTTTGTGCTAGTTTATAACTAGACTGCTAATTACCAGTCTTATACTCTTTTCTGAGGATTTTAATACATATGTATTCAAGATCGTCTTACCCAGTAGAGTGAGTATATGTGGGGCTGGGGGATGCCTGGGTACGGTCCTTTAGCTTTCTCGCTCATGGCTAGCACTCTGCCACTTGGGCTTAAGCTCCACTTAATTTTTTGCTGGTTAATTGGAGATAAGTGTCTTACAGACTCTCCTGCCCAGGCTGTCTTCAACTGTGATCCTCAGCTCTCAGCCTCCTCAGTAGCTAGGATTATAGGCATGAGCTACCATGCCAGGCTTAGCCAATATTTGATCACTAAGCTCATACCCTTTTGAAAACTTTAATGAAAGACAGTTTTGAGTTGGATAATCATTTTCCCACGGTAATGTCGTTTTTAGGATTGTGATCTGTGGCAGACTCATAGGCTAGAATTCCCATCCAGGCTCCATCACTTACTGTTATTTGACTCTAACCAAGCACTCAAACTCTAAACTTTACCTGAATGTGTACAGTGATGATATCTCACAGGGAACTAAGGGGCTGTGGATGAGCAGCTTTATGTAAAGTTCCTCCCACAATGCCTGGTGCATGGGAACTCATGTCCCCAAAATATCAGCTGGCCCCCAAATGTCACCTGGTCTTGAATTTTTCCATTATCAAGGTTGGTAGCCTCTCAGTTCTTATATGATCTAAAAGACTATGGTATATAATCAGGGAACACTGTGGCTATGAAATAGGAGAATTAAGACCTGTTCCAGTTACGCATATCAAGGACCAAACATTAGTGGCTCAGGTATGTTAGCCAGTTCTGTGGAGGTAAGAGTCTAGAATGACACAGGATATTTGGTTTGGGTGTGAAGAACCTGCCATGACCACTAAGGTAAAGGTATCATGTGGCAGGAACAACTTTTCTTTTTGGCAGCAGATGGAGATCTGTCAAGGCTTTGCCAGTTTGTTATCTCAGCAGAGGAAAAGATACTACACAACATTCACCTTGCCCTCAGCTCCACCCAGTCACCAAATAGTATGCCACATACACATCATTTTTATAGTGTTTACACACTTCATATATAATATCTTGGATTAAATAAGGAGCCATGAAATTTTACCAGTTTCTGTTAATTTTTTAATGTGGCTATAGGATATTTAAAATTATAATGTGACTTATACCAATAACATTTTAAGTTCAAAGTGGCTGCTATATAAGATGCACATAGGAGTCTATCAAAACATTTGAATTGTATCAACATCTTAAAATCCCAATCACTTAATTGGAACTAAATGTCGAAGCTTCTCCATAAAATTTTATAATGCTACAAAACCATTTTCTCAATTGTCTTTGCTTAACTTTCTTAGAAGAAATAAGGCTTTTAGGATTTTTTTTTAGCTTAATGATGCAGTTGTTTTCTTGTAAACTATAGTAGGAACAGGAAATCAATTAGTTATATAACATACAATCCTTCAAATTAATCTAACTGTATCAACAGCACCCCAGGAGTAGATTTGTCAGTTAGAAATGCCACTTCGTTTCGTTAGAGTTTAACTTGCTTTTAATATTTTAACAATGACAAATAAGAATCTTTAAAAAGTGTCAAGTCATCTTAAAGACAGTTCAGCACTGAAAATGAAATATACAGCTCTACATCTCCATCTGTTGAAAAATTCTAGTATTACATTTTTGAAAAATTCCAAAAGGAAATTAAGTTAATCAAATCAAGATTATTGCTGTAGTATAAAAATTTAAGTACCTATTAATTGATTTTAAAAACAGAAAATACAGGCCTATTTTCAATCATTTGCCATAAAAATGTCATTTAGACACACATTGTAGACATAGACACCAGAATGGTATCCAAAACCAACTCCTTGGGAAATTGATTAGACCAAGGAAAATGTGTCTTAATTTATAAGGCCAGGTTTTATACGCATCTGTGTACATAGGCTTGCTAGTGATTGGAAATCTTTATGAAACATTTGTGGATCGACATAGTGATATCAAGATACTCTGTTACTCATGTCAGACCCAACTGGACTTTTAATCAAGTAAGGGCAGTGAAGCAGGTCTGAGAGGCTGGGCATCAGCCGTGTTTACCTTCCTTGTGGGTTTGAATGGAGAGGCTGTTGTGCCAAGTTCAGCAGATTTCAGCTCTGGGAGTTCTGGGTATTCTCTATATGCTGCGTATGCCCTTTATTCATTCTTGGTGTTGAGCTTTCAGACATTACATATGATCCCGGATTTAGGAGATGAGATTATATCAATTGGTTGTTTTTTTTCCAAGGATATAGTAATGGTAATGGTTTAAATAAAGGGTTGAAAAGTGACATCAGTGATGTCAATTACTTGGAAACAGTGTGTTGTTACTGCACAAATGGAAAAATAAGCAAGTGTGGGAGAACATTTTGCTGGAAAAACAAGTATAAAGAGTACTGGAAGCAAGTATAAAGAGTACTGGTTTCACCAGGTGCTTATGATCCTAGCTACTCAGTAGGCTGAGATCTGAGGATAACCATTCAGAGCTAGACCAGGCAGGAAAGTCTATAAGGCTTTATTCCCAATTAACTACCAGCAAACCAGAAGTGGAGCTGTGGCTCATATGGTAGAGTTCTAGCCTTGAACAAAAGGAGCTCAGGGACAGCGCCCTATACCTAAGTTCAAGCTACATGACTGTGTGTGCAGAAGGGGCGTGGGGGGGGGGGGGGGGGAAGGAATCACTGGTCTCTTCATCTGCAGTCAGAAAGGAACACATACAATAATTATTCCAGTGTGGCCAGATACCCTCCCACCCCTACTTCTCTTCCTCCAGGAACTTTCCCTAAACCCCACATTCCCTTAGGTCCGGGCTTATCTGTGTTATATAGCTTTAAACCCACTTTTTCTTTGGATGACCCTGGGACAGGGAATGACTCTGACTTGTTGAGAACCATTTTTATCCTGTACCTCACGACTCTTTTTAGCCCAGACAAAGGCAGTGACTACTTCATTGTCATTTGTTGAATGAACATGAAATAAATGACTTCTCTCCAGGCATGTACCCCACTTTTGTTGACATTTTCCCTCAATAATTCAGTGACCTGTACCGTAGATCCTGGAGGAAGAAAGGCCACAGCAGTCTAGAAGGCTGGGGATACCTTTGGGAGAAGTTATCTCTATTTTTTGCATGTAGAGTACAAAGTAATCTTAAACTTTACCACTGAATGTACAGTTTAAAAAAATCATACATCTCTCCCTGAGTTTTAATAACAACTCAGAAGCCTATTTTAGAAATTAGCTTCCTGTGTAGCTGGGATGACAGATGTACAACACTGCAGACATGTTTTTGTGGGTTAAAATGGAGGAGTCTCAACCTTTTTTGCTAGGCTGGCCATAAGTGGTGACCTCAAATTCCAGCCTCCTCAGTAATTAAGATTATAGTCAAGAGGCATTGTGCTTAGCTGACAGAGAGAGGAGGGGGGAAAGAATTTAAAGTAATCTGTAGTTTCTTTTTATCTGAATTTCATTAGTTCCAGTAGGTTTCTTGGCTCAGTGGCTCGAGGTGAATGTCTGGCATATACCAGGCTCTAGATACCGAGCATCATTTCATTTAACAGTGATCAGTTTACATTTTTTAGGAGAACTTAGTTTGTCAGTCATAGGACTTGAACTCAGGGCCTGGGCACTGTCCCTCAGCTTTTTTGTTCAAGTACTCTACTTTAAGCCATAGCTCCACTTCTGGTTTTCTCATGGTTAATTGGGAATAAAAGCCTCACAGACTTTCCTGCCTGGTCTAGCTCTGAACTGTTATCCTCAGATCTCAGCCTACTGAGTAGCTAGGATCATAAGCACCTGGTGAAACCAGTATTTATACTTGCTTCTGTTTTTCCAGCAAAATGTTCTCCCACATTTGCTTATTTTTCCATTTGTGCAGTAACAACACACTGTTTTCAAGTAATTGACATCATGATGTCACCTTTCAACCCTTTATTTAAACCATTACCATTACTATATCCTCAGAAAAAAACAACCAATTGATATAATCTCATCTCCTAAATCCAGGATCATATGTAATGTCTCCTGGACTTTCTTATCCAGACTGACATCTAACCATAATCCTCAATTCTCAGATTGCAACCTCCTGAGTAGGTAGGATTACAGGCATGAGCTACCAGGGCCCAGATCAAAACTTAGTTTTTTAATGCATATTAATTTCAGAACAAAAAGCCTTGTGAGAAGAAACTCACAATACTGGCAATGAGGCCACAAGTAAGGGTTTCACAGGAGCTGAGCTTGGAAGCCCTGGTTTCATTCTCACTCCCAAACCTCTCCTACTAACTTCCTCTTTTAGTTACTGTTTTGAACATTCAGCTGTGGTTGTAGTATTCTGTCCAGTTAGTCTTTTTATTCACAGATAAGATATAGTTAGCTTTCATTTCAATAGATGTATAATTACATCAACATTTTATTGCTATTGTCTTATTATATAAGATGTTGTAATACTTTAAAGATGACTTACAAAATACTGTCCATAGATTTATTTTCTGTCGCATACCTGAATGTGTTAATGTTTGGAATTCCACTCTTATACCTATAAGTCAACTAGATTGCCTAAGAGTTTAGATGCATTTTCTTTGTTCTTTATCCTTTCCGTGTTATTCGAATGTGAGTCATCTGGAAACATCAGTTTGGATTACAACCACACAATGTATGTCTTTCTTAAGAATTATTGTTTCCCAAATGGTTCTTATTCTCAGAAGCAGAAAAGATGACAGGCAGAAGGAAGGAATGAGATTTCTGCAAATTGTTGAGACCATCTAACAAAGACAAAATAAGAGAAGCTAAGGAAAATGTGTAGAACTGTAACTACTGTCTAAGCACAGGACATCTAGCAAAGCTTTCTCCCTTCAGTCTAGTCATTTAATGTAGTCTCTGTTCCCTACCCCCAACAGCTCTTGGTGGAATACAGGGTCTCAGGATGTCATCTTTTTTTATTGTGTATGCTCCTGTCCTGGGGCTTGAACACAGAGCTTGGGCACTATCCTTGATCATTTGTGTTCAAGACGCTTTACCACATGAACCACAACTCTATTTCTGGCTTTTTTGTAATTCATTGGAGATAAGAGTCTCACAGACTTTCCTCCCTGGACTGGCCTCAAACTGTAATCTTTGTAGCTAGGATTACAGGCTTGAGCAACTAGCACCCAGCTATACCATCTTTTTTCAAGTAAACCATTTTCCCTCTCTAGTTTGAAGTTTAAATATATCATTTTGACTAAAGATAACTTAAATTCACAATATAAATGTAAAGTTACATGGACTTGGAAATAATGAGTATACTGTATATTTCAAAAATCTAGAAGAAAACATTGTAAAATATTTTTCCCTAAGGAAATAATAAATTTGAGCCATTGTGACTCACACCTGTAATCCTAGCTACTCAGGAGGGCAGGAAAGTCTGTGAGCTTCTAACCACTAGAAAACCAAAATTGGTGCTGTGGCTCAAAGTGGTGGAGCACTAGCCCTGAGCAAAAGGAACTCAGGAACAATGCCCTGAGTTAAGCCCCATAGTGGACCAAAATAAAAAGAAATAATAAATTTGGAGATGCACATGGTTAACCTGACTTATACCATTACATGATGTATATGACTCAAATGAGTCCCTCATTAATTTGTTTAGTGCTTATATTTTAAATAATCATCAAACATAACATTTTTGTCTTAAAGCATTTTGTAGAAATTCATATTCTCATGGCTTTTCTATTTGTCTTTTCAGAACTTGATAGCCCAGAAGAGCTAGGGAAGAAGCGGATCTGCAGGATCATCACGAAGGACTTCCCCCAGTATTTTGCAGTGGTCTCTCGGATCAAGCAGGAAAGCAACCAGATTGGTCCCGAAGGTGGAATTCTGAGCAGCACCACTGTGCCCCTCGTCCAAGCATCTTTCCCAGAGGGTGCTTTAACCAAAAGAATTAGAGTGGGCCTCCAGGTATTGGTCACAGAACACTTGTTTCCTCAGCATAATTAGAGAGCATGCAAGCATTCTTTGCTACAGAAACAGCATGAGCACTCATCTTTGATGATATTGCTGATTAGTCCATTTTAGAAATCACTAACCAATTTCAAACAAGGAGTTAAAAAAATATCAGCACAAATGAGACAGGTGCTAGAGGCTCATGCCTATAATCCTAGCTACTCAGGAGCCCTTGATTGGAGTATCAAGGTTCAAAGCAAACGAACCCCAAATGTTCTTATCTCTGATTAGCTAGGAAAAAGTGAGAAGTGGAGGGGTAGAGTACTAGCCTTGAGCAAACCATGGTTATCAACACCCCCCCAAAAAATGGGAGAGGAGATAAATGTGTTCATTGTATATTATATGCATATATATGTAAGTATATGTGGAGATATCACAATGTACAATCCTCTGTATTTTTATAAAAGGAAAGCATTAAAGTTTAGCTTAGTAACTGGTAAATAAGATTATATAGTTTAGTCTTTCTGCTGAAAAATCTCAGTAGGTTTCTAATGAAAGATAATTTTTTCAGCCATAGATTCTTGGTCTCAATTAATGGAGCAATATACCAAAACTTGAGTTATAGTATGTCACCTCATAAAACTTAGTTATAGTAAAACTTGCAAGCTTTCAGTGTTTGGGTTTAAATAAATCATAAATACTGGGTTTCCTCCAAATCAGTTGGAACTTGTTTTGGTTTGGCAAGCTGACTGGAAATCTTGTTAAGAATGATTTTTTTTTTAACTCATTTCAGTCAGTTTTTACCTTAACTAATTTATTTTACTTACTGAAGGGAAACTGAATGGAGAACTTTGGTTGTTAATTAATATTGTAATTAGTGATTTAACTGAAATCTCATGCTTTTTGTGAGATTCAATTCTCATATCCAAAGGGAGTTGTTAGGCTTTATTTACCTCATTGGGCACACTAAGTCCTGGAAGGGCCTTTGGTAAATAAATACTTACCAGTAGTATGAAGTTTCCATCATCTGTCTTCCATATTGACTCTTTTTTTTTTTTTTAATCAACTAGCAAACTTGGTAGACTAGAATTGAAGTCTTTTGAAAGTGTGAATTCCTTTTTGTTCCTCTAAAGTCTCCATTTTTACCTAGTGCACGTTGGCTTTGTGAGTTTTCATGGAATGTCCTATACAAGTTTGTTTACTGAGGTAATCTTTGCTTTCCTTGACTTTGGATTAGGCTAAGAAGTATCTCTGCCTGAGATTTGATTCCCTTATTTCATGCAAGCCAGGACTTTAAGTTCTGCTGAGGAAATAAATTGACCAGTTCCCACTACAGATTAGACTCTTTTCTTATTGTGAAGTAGTGAGACAGGATTAAAAGAAAGTCATATTTTGTGTTGTTGTGGTCAGATTAATTTTTCTTTTCCACTTGAAAAGTCAACTTTCTGACAGGAAAAAAAAATCTAGTTGTATTTAAAGTCTTTTTTCTGTCTGAAGGCCCAGCCTGTTCCAGAAGAAATTGTGAAAAAGATCCTTGGAAACAAAGCAACGTTTAGCCCAATTGTCACTGTGGAACCGAGAAGAAGGAAATTCCATAAACCAATCACAATGACCATTCCAGTGCCCCCACCCTCTGGAGAAGGTGTAGCCAATGGATACAAGGGAGACACCACACCCAATCTGCGTCTTCTCTGTAGCATAACAGGTTTGCTTAAGTCCCTGCATGACTTCCTATTGATTTTGCAGTGATTGTATACAAAAACATCAAACCTTTGAAATATCCATGCCAACGTTTATAAGAGTAATGAAGAAGGAATAAAATGCCTCTGTTACCGCTGTAATAGTTTTTGCAAAATGGCTGCTCTCATGACTCATTTAACATTTAGAACTTTTTCCTCTACTAAATTGAGCATTAGCAATAGAGTTCTTTAAGGTATAATAGAATCTACTGGAACATTTAGGTAGTTTCTTGGAGATACAAGCAAAGGTAGAACTAGCAACCTTCCCAGTAGACTAACAGGAAATTGGATGGACTTTGGGGGAATTAAGTAACAAACAGAACACTAGTAGTAGGAAAGTATTGAGTATATGATTACTGTCACCTACCCTACTGACAATATTATCACTATGTGATATTGTATCACTAGCATGATACTGTAAGTTACATATACAGACCTTGGGAGAACATGTTTTGTGATAAGTTCCTGGAATCCAGACCTCAGTGCATCCTTTGATTATCCTCATATTCTTAACTATAATTCTAAGTTCACTGAAGATGGATTTTTTTTCTTTGAGGAGTAACTTTAGTAGCCAACTCTCTTTTACCAGGAAAGCTAATGTTTCTGCTAGGTTTTGTTTTGGTCCTGGGACTTGAATTCAGAGCTTGGGCACTGTCCCGGAACTTTTTTGCTCAAGGCTAGAGTTCTAGCATACGAGCAACAACTCTACTTCTAGCTTTCTGCTGGTGAATCTGGAGATAAGAATCTTATAGACTTTTCTGCCAAGGGTGACTCCTCAATCCTCAGACCTCAGTCTAGGATGACAGGCATGAGCCACCAGTGCCTGGCTCAGCCAGTTTTAAAATGAGCTGTTATATAACGTTCTTAATAACTCATTTCTTAAAAACTTATCTGAAGCTAAAATCTTGCATTGAGATTAAACTTATAAAATACATTTTTAAATTACTTTTGCCCTGTGTTTAAATGCTATACATTACTACCCAAACAGAGAAGTCATTTTTTCAGAAAAACAGTGACCAACAAGCTGGTAAGAGTGTCAAAGGAAACGAAATGTAATTTTCAGGGCACAACACTGAAATGCAATGTGCTGAAGTCCTTGGCAGTTACTGGCTATTCAAGAACCAGATGTGATGGCTGTAATATCTCCCTATAATGAACCTGCTATGTCTCTGCTGTTCCCTCAGGGGGCACCTCACCTGCTCAGTGGGAAGACATCACAGGAACAACTCCTCTGACTTTTATAAAGGATTGTGTCTCTTTTACAACGAATGTTTCAGCCAGGTATGAAAGCAAAACTAAAGAACATTTTATTGCTTTGGGAGAAGTGTGTGTGTGTTTCTATTTTGTGGAAAAGTTGAAAAAAGTCTTGCCAGCCTTGAACAAAAAAGGCCAAGCCAAGTGTAGACAGCTCCCAGTTCAAGCCTCAGTACCAGCACATACAGAGAAAGACTGATTTTGTTGTTTAAATGAACATGCTAATAATATTTTGATCCAGTCCCTTGCACAAGTGATTCGTCTGTTCTGCCATTGAGCTTGTACCCCGACTCCCTAATTGTTTTAATGGTTAAGATGTAGCTTTTAAATCTCTTTGATTTTTATTCTTGTTTTGTGTTCTGCTGTTTTGCAGATTTTGGCTTGCAGACTGCCATCAAGTTTTAGAAACTGTAGGGTTAGCCACACAGCTGTACAGAGAATTAATATGCGTTCCCTACATGGCCAAGTTTGTTGTTTTTGCCAAAATGAACGATCCTGTAGAATCTTCCCTGCGATGCTTCTGCATGACAGATGACAAAGTGGACAAAACTTTAGAGCAGCAAGAGAATTTTGAGGAAGTGGCAAGAAGCAAAGATATTGAGGTAACTTGTCCATAAAAACAACTTTATGTAGGACATTCATCTGATACTGGCTTTTATTTTGAGGTCAAGTAGCACTCACTGTTAATAGCAAGTTCCCTATTGATTTTACTTTAAAACTTTGATATTGATTTATTCTTAAAACATTTTAAGTGGCATTAATAACCTTGATGAGAATATAGCACTGATGAATGTAAGTTGTAGTCTCTGTGTTCCAGTGGTAGCCTGAGTTTTCTTATTTTCGTGGGCCACTATCTAAACATTGTCATGGCTGACCTTTAAACCCAGCTCATGTTCAGCATTCTCAAATCAAAAATATTCTCTCCAACTCTAAAGTTGCTGGAAGAAAGTATATAATACTCTTTTGTACATGTCCGTTATAATGTTTTCTAGTTATATTTAAATGGAAGCGCTCAGAATTACTTTTTATTAAATATTATTCATGTGTATGACATCACCAGAGAATTTCCTAGTAAAGAGAAACATGACATACAACCATGTCAGTCATACAAAACTTAACCTTAAAACTCTTCTGACACAAGCTAACATTATGTATTTCTTTAAAAGGTTCTGGAAGGAAAACCTATTTATGTTGATTGTTATGGAAATCTGGCCCCACTTACTAAAGGAGGACAACAACTTGTTTTTAACTTTTATGCTTTCAAAGAAAATAGACTGCCATTTTCCATCAAGGTAAATCATCTTGAACAGAAACTGTGAATTAAAAAAAAAACAGTTCATAGAATATAAAAAAGCTAACACATTTTCATGATTTGTTTGACTTGTTCTATGAAACTTGAATGCATGAGAATAAGGTCAGATTTTGTCTTCATTCAACCAGGGTGCGTTTTTTGACCTAGTAATATGTTGCAAATTAGCAAAACACAATCTTTACATTAAAAATCTTTAATCGTCTAAGGAACTATTTGTAGAACCAAATAATCTAAAAGGTACATGTAGTTAATATTCAGTAATAAAATAGCTGATAAACTTCACATTGAGCATTCAAGCTTCATTTCCATTTCTGAGGGAGCCAGGGACATTTTTCAGGGAGATCTTTCGAGAACAAAAGATAGGACAGTTGTGCTATTATTGTTGTTATTTGTGCTTATTGTTAAAGCTGTTCAGGAAGCATTAAGTAGGAAGAATATACACACAATCAGGTGAAACAGTCAGTGTAGGAGAGACCCAACAATGCTTTTAGGGTAGGGAACAGGCCTCAAATGCTGTGGTCAAATATGACCTTTCAGGCTGTCACGGAATTGTTAGCCTTTTTCTTTCCCACCTCTGTAAGGACCTCTAAAAACCAACATGGTTTACTCTTAATCTGTAACTATCTACCTAAATTCTAGATTAGAGACACCAGCCAAGAGCCTTGTGGTCGCCTGTCTTTTCTGAAAGAACCAAAGACAACAAAAGGTCTGCCTCAAACAGCTGTCTGCAACTTAAATATCACTCTGCCAGCACATAAAAAGGTATCTTTTAATACTGGTTTGACTTTCTTTCCCTGGTCTTGAAAGTGGGCCTTGATTTGCCACTAAGGAATGCTTTGTAGCCCAATTAAAAGCTCTTGAAACTAAAGTTCCGTTAGTCTCCTTGTATAGAGTGATAAAGTCTTGTTATTGTGGTGTCAAATTCTTAGAGTCTGTATGATGGAGTCCTCTGTTAATCGCTTCTGCTGGTAGTTCAGAGATTTTTATGCTTTCAAATGATGTCACATTAATTTGCCATGGATGTGTAGTTCTTGGTATTTTATTTTGTTGGCTTCTTTTGCTTTGCTTTCTAAACCAGCTTGCATTTTGTGCTCCCTACTCAGTCCTTTTCATATCCTGATATTCTTTTCCCTGCTGTCCATTATAATATTCCTTGTCTCTGCAATGCATCTTGGGACCAAAAGGAGACAGAGTCAGATCAAGATGATGAGGTAATATGAACACTTCTGCTTTTATTCTATCCAAGGTAGAATAGACTGGAGAGGGATGAAGTGTGGGAAGTATTTAAATTATATTTTTGTAGGTCTTAGCCTGAGTGAGGTAAAAAGTATTTTTCTCTGAAAATGGTTCACACTTCCTCCACATGTACAGAGAACTTCAAGTACATTTACCGAACTGTAATCCAGCTAATTAATTTAAAAGAAAAAACTTATAAAATGTGGTAGGTTTTTAAAGTTTCACATGTATATTTTACTATTACTATTCAACCACCTGCTGTCTTTTAATCCTGATCTTGAAAAATTAAGTTATGGAATTTTATTGAATATCCATTTATAAAACTTAAGTTTTGTGGAGATTTTGTGTGATAAATAGCTGAACAAATTAATCTTGGCCTCTGTCCCCCTTACCCTTCCCTTTCGGTAGTATTAAGGTTTGAGTTCAGGGCCTTTTATTTGCTAGGCAAGTGTTTTTTTTTTTCCAGTCTTGGGGCTTGAACTCAGAACCTAGACACTGTCTCTGAACCTCTTTGTGCTCAGAGTGGTAGGCTAGTGCTTTACCACTTGAGCCACAGTTCCACTTCCAGCTTTTTCTAAGTAATTTATAAAAGATAAGTCTCATGGACTTTCTTGCCCAGTCTGGCTTCGAACCCTGATCCTCAGATCTCAGACTCCTGAGTAGCTAAGATTATAGGTGTGAGCCACCAGCGCCCAGCCTTTGGTCTTTTTTGTTTTTAAGTATGTGTTTTAAACATAACATAATTAGATTTTTTAGAAATCCACAAACCAGCCTGGCAGCAGAAGCTCACATTTTAATCCTAGCTCTTTGGGAAGCTAAGAAGAAAAGGATCATGGTTCCAGATCAACCTTAGCAGAAAAGTCTGGAAGAGTCCCTGGTCTTGCAAGGACTATAAACTAGATCTGTGATGCCATTAGGATGTATAGCCTGAAAGCGAGAAGATCACAGTTCAGCACTCCCTGGCAGGATGTGAGACCCTATCCTAAAATTAACCAGTGCAAAACAAGGCAGAATGTAGCAGCCTAGCAAGCTCAAGGCTCTGACTTCAAACCCTCAATACCTCTTTAAAAATAAACAAATCCCCACACATCAATTATTATAGTAGCCTTAGGATTCAGTGATATGACTGCTAGTATAATCATTCACCTGTTTTTAATCCCATCCACACCATCCCTAATCACAGTAGTAATGACAGAAATACACTCTGTGTGCCTTTTCTCCATGAATGTACTCCCCTAGTGAGTGTACTTTGTGATCTATGTGCTCTCCATATGAATGGATTTGGGGACACGAAGAGCTGAGCATCAGAAGTCTCTGTAGTGCTTGTCTTTTATTTGTAGTTCCCTGTAGTCTGCCGTGTCAGTGCTCTTATATTTGCTAGCTCATGGTTATTTGGCTAAGATAGTGGGTGAAGTTCTAGAATTCCAGTAGCACAGTAACATTTTCCAAGAGGGAAATGCCTAAGAAGATAATAAGGATAAACATGTTGTCATTCTAAGAAGTGTCGTGTCACAATTGTGAAAATGTCACTAGGAGGTTGGAGACAGTCTCGCTTTTCCCCTCTTTCTTTTGCAGAATGAGAAAGCAGACAGACGACAGAGCTTTGCATCTTTAGCTCTACGTAAGCGCTACAGCTACTTGACTGAGCCCGGAATGAGTGAGTCTGCTAACACACTTACTAATCTTTGTGGAGACTTATAAGAAGAGACATTTTTTCTATACCAACTAAATTCTTGGAAAACCAATATCCAATGAAAAGTTGTAAGAAGACTATCATGAAGTCTTCAGCAGTACTTTGTACCTAGTTGAAGATACAAGGCAGCGCATGCGCGCACATACACACACACCCCTAGTTCACATCTGCAAAAGATTTTAGCTAGTGCTTCTTTGGGTGGTAACATTACTTTTAAAATTATTGACTTTATTTTGGTGATGTCTTTGTGCAGGAGATCAATACTAGCATTTCCATACCCAGAAGAGAAAATATTTACTGTTACGTATTTGAGATTCTAGAGAGGATAATATGGTTACTTTGGCGGTCATCTCCTCTTCTTTAATACAGACTATTGTATATACTCACATTTCAAAGGACTTCTGTTTTCTTGAGGCAGCCCTTGATTCTTGAGTTCTTACCTCTTGCCTCTCTGTCCTCTATTACCCTATCAGTTTTAGGGCTGGTCTTTTACTAAGCTGGCAAAGCCTTTCTTCTCAGTGGTTGTTTTGTTTGTTGTTAAATGGCTTTCAAGTAAGATATAGATTAATTCAGTTATATTCCCCCCCTCCCTCTCTCTCTCCCCTAATGGTCACCATGGAGGATTACCATAGCTTTGGAGATCACCCACTGCAGCAAGGGAGCTAGGGGTACAGACAGCAGGGCCGGGTTTGCTGAAAAAAGTGATGTCACTGACCCTCAGAGAAGTTTCACTTTAAAGAGGATTTATACCCAAAAACTACCTTTTCCTTAATATTCCTTGCTGTTTCCTAAGAATCACACTTAATCTCAGGGGTATATGGATATTGACCCAGTAAAAACCTTCATTTTGGGCTTTTCCCGCCTTTTCTTTTTTCTTTTTTTGGTCTGGTCATGAGGCCTGAACTCTGGGCCTGGATGCTGTTCCTCAGCTCTTCAGCTCAAGGCTAGTGCTCTACCACTTGAGCCACAGCACCACTTCCAGCTTTTTTTCTTTTCTTTTTTTTTTCTTTTTCTCTTTTTTTCTTATGTGGTGCTGAGGAATTGAACCCAGGGCTTCAGGCATACAAGGCAAGCACTCTACCCCTGAGCCACCTTCCCAGCCCCCTTTTCCCCGCCTTTTCCTGTGGTCCCACCTACTTATTGAAAGTACTTCGCTAGTTAAATCAGATGGGCTTAACAGTAATTCTGCTGACATCTAGCTCTGAGTCCCAGGAAAGCTTTTATATTCAAACAAATGAAATTGTACTATACTCCTTAGCTCTAGCAGAATTTTTTTTTGTGGGGGTCCGGTCATGGGGCCTGAACTCTGGGCCCGGGCGCTGTCCCTCAGCTCTTCAGCTCAAGGCTAGCGCTCTAGCGCTTGAGCCACAGCGCCACTTCCGGCTTTTTTCTTTTTGCTTATGTGGTGCTGAGGAATCGAACCCAGGGCCTCAGGCATGCAAGGCAAGCACTCTACCACTGAGCCACCTTCCCAGCCCAAGCTCTAGCAGAAAAGGCTACAATCCTTCCAGAAACATAAGGGCTTAATATGAACGCCTATTGTGCTCTATATATTGGGAAGGAGGGAGTAGCTAGATTGTTTTTCAGTAAGCTAAATATAAATTTTCTCTGGAATATTATTTTACCCTAGAGATCCTCACCAAGTGGTTTTCTAGGCTACCTCTTATCTCTTTCCCCTAATTTCATCCCATAAAATATCCTTAAGCTTTGAAACAGGCTTAATAACAGCTACTTTTGGTCAGAGATATCTTGAGGCAGACAAGTTTTCAACTGATGCTGGCCCCTATAGTGTTAGTCTACTTGGGGAAGACCTGAATTTCTGGGATCCAGTAGGTGTCAATTGAATTTTTCCCACTTATGGAAGTGTTGCTACTTTTTTGTTAGATTCAGTCAGATATATGCATCTTTCTTTTACTCTTGGTAGAAGGAAAAGAGTGTTTTATGAAAAGGCACTCACAGGTGGGGAACAGAGAAATAGAAAGGGACTCAAGAAAACTAAGAGAATGCCCTAGTCTCTGAAGGTGTTAGGACTTTGGGTACCTCTTTTCCCTGATCACTTTGCCTCTCAATACCCCTCTCCCTACTACTTTCCTCCCACCACACACACACAAAATAAAGATTCTTTTGAAGTTCACTACCTGCCTAACATGCAGAATCTCTCTTGGGTGTAAAGAGTATCTTCAGGTGTATGCCATTGAAGCATAAAATATTCAGCTGATAGGCAATTTGGTTGTTTCTGGCAAATTATAAAACCACAGACATGCTTCAAAAGATCCCCTTTGCCTGATGGAGCCAACCTTCATTGTAAAGGAGAGATATTTTACCATTATCTTATGACATGAGCAGAACCCACCAAATCACTGAACTGAAGGAATCCCTAACAGAGTTAAGCAGTCTCATGCTGAGAATGATAGCTAGTTGGGTAGTGAATAGGTGAGTTTTATTTTAGTTCTTCCACTTTCTTTAGGATAATAGGTTCTATCTAGATAAGGATATGTTCTGAATATTTGACTTTAAATGTATACTAGGAATGAAAATCTTCACCCTTGGACTGGATTGTAGCAATGGGATGAGCCCAGCATGAAGAAGAGCAGAAAAGATGAAGCAGAGAGTCTCATTTCCTCTTCACGTTTCACTATTATTCTGAGCCGTTGCTTTCTTGGAGCCAGACTGTATTCAACTCTGCCGTAGAATGTTAGCCCTAGGCAGGCATTCTAATGTTCTGTGACCAGCCTGGTTTGTTAAGAATTAGAGAAGTAGAGAAGATTCAGCACATGTTTGCTGTTCCCAGCAGTATGCTCACCTTGTTTGTGCTTTTCTTGCCCCATTGTGAGAAGAATGCTGGTATTATGATGTCCATCTTTCCTAGCAGTAGGTGTGCCTCATGACTGCTCCAGTGTTTGGGGCATCTGTGAGTCTCACAATTAATCTGGAAACGCACAGAATTGGCAACTTAAAAATTAATAAACATACATACCATCTCTTATTGGAGGTACTTAAATATGGGGTGCTAAAAGTATCATTGTCCTTTCAAGATTTTTCCCCCATGATACCTTTTGAGAATTAAAAGAGCAGATTATTAAAAATATGAAATAAACTATTTGATTTTATCTATAATGAAGGCAGCTATAGTCATGAATATGTTTTGTTGCAGATGTATTTTATAATGTACAGTATTAAATAGTTCCCTAAAGTCTCAAAAGGTACCAAGACTTCATATCTCATGGAAAAAGTGTACTCTTCTTTTTAAATGCTATTATGAAAGTATTTTTAAAAGTTCTATAATGTGCATAAAATGGCATACAAATTGTATTATTTCATTGGCTTGTTTGCCATGATACATTGCGCATGATAAGATGTTTTTTCAGTTGCTTTGCTTGCTTATGGTAACCATGAGCCATATTTTCCATTGTTTTTTTTTTCCTTTGTGTGTGTGAGTGTATGTGTGGGTACACACATGCATTTTTAAATCATTTCATACTTCATTTTGTTTTCCCCTCATCAAAAGGAATATACTGCATGGAAAAGATAAATGCAAACATTCCTTTTTTTTTCTTTTGTTGTCATTTAAAATTCCAACTCAGACAATTTCTTGCTCTTATTGGCTTTTTATGGGTGTGAAACATAACCGAATTGTGCATGGAAGATCCAGATTTCAAATCCAGTGGCTTCACAGTTTGCACATCAGTTGCCTGTCTCTTAACAGTTATTTTGGACTTTGCATGAAATAGGCTTGAGTGGTTTTCTTAAAAAAAAAAAAAAGTTTTAGCTATTTAATAACGTATGGACTGATATATTGAAATGGTTCTAAATAGGTGCAATCCTTATATATCATGGAAAGACTCTAAAGGAAGAAACATTAGAAATACTAAGAGTTCTATGGTTGCACAAAACATACCTATACAGGCAAAAGAGAGCAGCTACTGATCTTTCAACACCAGAACATAAGAAAGTCAATAGGAAGTATGGGAAGAGTTTTTCATTGTGGTTATTTTTCTCATTAATTCTTTCCTCATGTTTTCTGTTTCTCATTGTTGGCCTATTCGGTTGCTATGTGCTTTTCCTGTGTTCCGTTTCACATTGCTCTGTTTTTTTATTTAGCTTTCCTTTTTTTTTTTTTTTGAACTTTGGATTCATTGTGTCTGTAGACCCTTATTTTCCTTCTTTTATTTAATTGTTCCTTTTGGCTACTTCCATCCTAAAAATCATGCAAACAATTGTACTTGCTTTTGTAATATTTCAAAGTTTACTGACCAATTTTTTTCTCTGGTCTCTCTGTTTCTCAACCATTTTTGTTGATTTTTGTGTTTGATTTCATTTTAAAATTTAAGAAACAGTTGAACGGAGTGCAGGAGCAACAAGATCTCTCCCCACCACTTACTCATACAAGCCATTCTTTTCTACAAGACCATACCAGTCCTGGACCACAGCGCCGATTACAGTGCCCGGGCCAGCCAAATCAGGCTTCACTTCCTTATCAAGTTCTTCCTCTAATACGCCATCAGCCTCTCCGTTAAAATCAATATGGTCTGTTTCGACTCCTTCTCCAATCAAATCCACATTAGGCGCCTCAACCACATCCTCAGTTAAATCCATTAGTGATGTGGCATCTCCAATTAGATCTTTCCGGACAATATCTTCACCAATCAAAACAGTGGTGTCACAGTCTCCATACAATATCCAAGTTGCCTCTGGTACCTTGGGTAGAGCTCCTACAATCACAGAGGCTACACCCTTAAAGGGGCTAGCATCCAGTTCTACATTTTCCTCTCGAACTTCTCCTGTGACTACAGCAGGGTCTCTCTTGGAGAGGTCATCCATTACTATGACCCCTCCTGCCTCCCCCAAATCAAACATTAATATGTATTCTTCGAGTCTGCCATTTAAGTCGATTATCACATCGACAGCACCGCTCATATCTTCACCTTTAAAGTCAGTGGTGTCTCCAGCTAAGTCCACCATGGATGCCATTTCCTCAGCTAAAGTTACGATGGCATCCTCTCTCTCATCACCCTTGAAACAGATGCCTGGACATGCGGAGGTACCATTAGTCAACGGATCGATTTCTCCTCTGAAATACCCATCGTCTTCAACTTTAATTAACGGATGCAAAGCCACTGCCACATTACAGGACAAAATTTCTACAGCTACAAACTCTGTGAGCTCTGTGGTCAATGCAGCCACGGACACAGTTGAGAAAGTATTTTCTACCACGACAGCCATGCCATTTTCCCCTCTCAGGTCATACGTCTCTGCAGCCCCCTCAGCTTTCCAGTCTCTAAGAACTCCTTCTGCAAGTGCACTCTACACTTCCCTTGGGTCGTCGATAGCTGCAACTACCTCATCTGTAACTTCATCAATAATCACAGTGCCAGTATACTCTGTAGTCAATGTTTTGCCAGAACCAGCATTAAAGAAATTTCCAGACTCTAATTCACTGACAAAATCAGCGGCCGCCTTGTTGTCACCCATTAAAACATTGACTACAGAGCCATGTTCCCAGCCCCATTTCAACCGAACTTCATCTCCAGTTAAGTCATCTTTGTTCCTTGCACCTTCTGCCCTTAAGCTGTCTACGCCATCTTCTTTATCTTCCAGCCAGGAGATATTAAAAGACGTGGCTGAAATGAAGGAGGACCTCATGCGGATGACTGCAATACTACAGACAGATGTGCCCGAGGAGAAGCCATTCCAACCTGAACTCCCCAAAGAAGGGAGAATTGACGATGAAGAGCCTTTCAAAATTGTGGAGAAAGTAAAAGAAGACTTGGTGAAAGTGAGTGAGATCCTGAAAAAGGATGTATGTGTAGATAACAAAGGACCACCCAAATCACCAAAGAGTGACAAAGGACACTCTCCCGAAGAAGACTGGATAGAATTTAGTTCAGAAGAAATAAGAGAAGCAAGGCAACAGGCTGCCACAAGCCAGTCCCCATCTCTGCCAGAGAGAGTGCAAGTCAAAGCGAAAGCTGCCTCTGAAAAGGACTACAACCTGACTAAAGTTATTGATTACCTGACCAACGATATTGGGAACAGCTCATTGACCAACTTCAAGTACAAGTTTGAGGATGCAAAGAAGGATGGCGAGGAGAGACAAAAAAGAATCTTAAAGCCAGCAATTGCCTTGCAGGAACACAAACTCAAAATGCCACCAGCCTCTATGAGGCCTTCCACCTCTGAGAAGGAACTATGCAAAATGGCTGATTCCTTCTTTGGAACAGATGCAATTTTAGAGTCTCCTGATGACTTTTCTCAACACGACCAAGATAAAAGTCCCCTGTCTGACAGTGGCTTTGAAACAAGAAGCGAGAAGACACCTTCAGCCCCACAGAGTGCAGAAAGCACTGGTCCTAAACCACTTTTTCATGAAGTTCCCATCCCTCCTGTCATTACAGAAACAAGGACTGAAGTGGTTCATGTTATCAGGAGCTATGAGCCCTCTACTGGGGATGCTCCCCAGTCCCAGCCCGAGGAGCCTATGTCCCCCAAGCCCTCGTCCGCATTTATGGAATTAGAACCAAAGCCCACCACCTCTAGTATTAAAGAAAAGGTGAAAGCGTTTCAAATGAAAGCCAATAGTGAAGAAGATGACCACAGTCGGGTGTTGGGCAAAGGCATGCGTGTTAAAGAAGAGACTCACATCACCACCACCACCAGAACCGTGTACCATTCTCCACCAGGCAGTGAGGGCGCCTCGGAAAGAATTGAAGAGACCATGTCAGTCCATGACATCATGAAAGCCTTTCAGTCCGGGCGAGACCCTTCCAAAGAACTGGCAGGGCTGTTTGAACACAAGTCGGCCATGTCTGCAGATGTTCACAAGTCTGCTGCTGAGACATCAGCCCAGCATGCAGAGAAGGACAACCAAATGAAACCCAAACTGGAGCGTATAATTGAAGTCCACATCGAAAAAGGTAACCAAGCTGAGCCCACTGAAGTCATTATTAGAGAAACCAAAAAGCATCCAGAAAAGGAAATGTATGTGTATCAGAAAGACTTATCCCGGGGAGATATTAACCTAAAAGATTTTCTGCCAGAAAAACACGATGCTTTTCCTTGTCCCGAAGAGCAGGGTCCGCAAGAAGAAGAAGAACTGACTGCAGAGGAGTCATTGCCTTCTTATCTGGAGTCTTCCAGAGTAAACACTCCCGTGTCCCAAGAAGAAGATAGCCGCCCTAGTTCTGCTCAGCTTCTCTCTGATGACTCTTATAAAACACTGAAGCTCTTGAGTCAACACTCTGTAGAATACCATGACGATGAGTTGTCAGAACTAAGAGGGGAGTCATACAGGTTTGCTGAGAAAATGCTTCTCTCAGAAAAGCTAGATGTGTCTCATTCTGATACTGAGGAATCTGTGACAGACCTTGCAGGACCCCCTAGCTCAGAGTTACAGGGGTCTGATAAGCGGTCCAGAGAAAAAGTAGCCACTGCCCCCAAAAGAGAAATCCTCTCCAAAATCTATAAAGATGTATCTGAAAATGGTGTAGGTAAAGTGTCCAAAGATGAGCGTTTTGATAAAGTGACAGTGTTGCACTATTCTGGTGATGTTAGTAGTCCCAAACATGCCATGTGGATGCGCTTTACTGAGGACAGATTAGACAGAGGTAGAGAGAAGTTGATGTATGAAGATAGGGTGGACAGGACTGTCAAGGAGGCTGAAGAAAAACTGACAGAGGTGTCACAGTTCTTTCGGGACAAAACTGAGAAGCTCAATGATGAACTGCAGTCCCCAGAGAAAAAGCCACGCCCCAAAAATGGCAAAGAATACTCTTCCCAAAGCTCAACCAGCAGCAGCCCTGAGAAAGTACTGACAGAACTGTTGGCATCCAACGATGATTGGGTTAAGGCAAGGCAACAGGGCCCTGATGGACCACAAGGCTGTCCCCAGGCTGAGGAGAAAAAGGTGTCCAGTCTGCCCAGCAGCCCAGAGAAGGTTCTTCCCCAACAGAGTGAGGATGGCCAGTCTACCATGGAAGCTAAAGGGGGTGCTACACATAGCAAAGCCTCCGAAGGGCCCCAGTCTGGATTCCAGCTCAAACAATCTAAACTCAGTTCCATTAGATTAAAATTTGAACAAGGCACACACGCCAAAAGCAAGGACCTGTCTCAAGAAGAAAAAAAGGCAGATGGCCAATCCCGAATCCCAGTTAAAAAAATACAGGAGAGCAAATTGCCTGTCTACCAAGTTTTTGCTAGAGAAAAACAGCAGAAGGCCATAGACCTCTCAGAGGAAAGTGTGTGTGCGCAAAAAGAGTTCATGGTATTAAAAGCTAAAGATGAGCCTGCCCAAAGCAGCGAGACGGTGGTCAATGATTCTGGCTCTAACGATGTCAAAAAACAGAGAACTGAAATGTCAAGTAAAGCCATGCCTGACTATTTTTCCGAGCAACAGGCTAAAGACTTGGCATGCCATGTAACCTCAGATTTAGCAACCAAGGGACCATGGGACAAAAAGGTCTTTAGAACATGGGAAAGTTCTGGGGCCACTAACCATAAGTCCCAGAAAGAAAAACTTTCACATGTAATTGTGCATGGTGTAAGAGAGAATCACAATGCTCACCCTGAGAGTACAAGTGTGGATGAAAAGAATGAATTGGTGTCTGTGACTGAGAGAGAACCCAAATTGTTAACAAATGGCTCTCTCTCAGAACTTAAGGAAATGACTGTAAAATCTCCCTCCAAGAAAGTGTTATACAGGGAATATGTTGTGAAAGAAGGGGAGCGTGTGGGCGGGGCTCTCGACCAGCCTGCCAGGAGGAGCGAGAACTCAGCAATGTCTCACATTCCAGTCAGAGTTGCTGACGAGAGGAGAATGTTGGCGTCTAATATTCCCGATGGGTTTTGTGAGCAGTCAACCTTTCCAAAACGTGAACTGTCACAAAAACTGTCCCAGTCGAGTACGAGCAAAGAGACAGTTGAGACCCAGCACTTTAATTCCATAGAAGATGAAAAAGTCACTTACTCAGAAATCAGCACAGTTTCCAAACATCAGAGCTATGTAGGCTTATGCCCGCCTCTCGATGAGACGGAGACTTCTCCCACCAAATCTCCTGATTCTTTAGAGTTTAGCCCAGGAAAGGACTCTCCCTCTAGTGATGTGTTCGACCACAGTCCTACTGATGCACTGGGAAAACGTGCTCCACTAGCCCAGACCGAGGGAGGGAAAGAGATTAAAACCTTGCCGGTTTATGTCAGTTTTGTACAAGTGGGAAAGCAATATGAAAAGGAGATACAGCAAGGAAGTGTAAAGAAAATCATCAGTCAGGAATGTAAAACAGTCCAAGAGACCAGGGGGACCTTTTATACAACTAGACAGCAAAAGCAGCCTCCTTCTCCCCAAGGTAGCCCAGAAGACGATACTCTAGAGCAAGTATCTTTTCTAGACAGCTCGGGGAAAAGCCCTTTAACGCCAGAAACACCCAGTTCAGAGGAAGTGAGTTACGAATTCACATCTAAGACCCCAGACTCGCTCATAGCTTATATACCAGGCAAACCCAGCCCAATCCCTGAGGTTTCAGAGGAATCAGAGGAGGAGGAAATGGCCAGGTCAACCTCTCTAAAGCAGCCTACGGTGGAAGAAAGCACCGTTGAGTGTGAGGCACCTAAGGATGTGAGCAGAGACTTTATCCAAAGACCCAAACCGAACAGGGTTGCCTATATCGAATTTCCTCCTCCTCCACCTCTGGATGCAGACCAGATGGAGTCAGAGAAGAAGCTCCATTACCTCCCTGAAAGGGAGGTTGACATGATTGAAGTCAGTCTGCAGGATGAGCATGACAAGTACCAGCTGGCGGAACCTGTCATCAGAGTGCAGCCTCCTTCACCCATTCCACCAGGGGCAGACGCCAGTGAATCGAGCGATGACGAATCTGTTTATCAACCGGTCCCAGTTAAAAAATACACTTTTAAATTAAAGGAAGTCGAGGATGAGCAAAAAGAAATGACAAAAGCCAAGGCTGCTGCCGAAAAGGCTTCCACCAAACAGAAAGAAGCAGAAAGTAATGGATCTGGCAAAGAGAACGAATTTGGCCTTGGCCTTGACTCCCCTCAGAATGAAACTGCTCAGAATGGGAACAATGACCAGTCCATCACAGAGTGCTCCATCGCTACCACCGCAGAATTTTCTCATGATACTGATGCCACGGAGATTGACTCTCTGGATGGCTATGACCTACAAGATGAAGATGATGGGCTGACAGAGAGCGATTCCAAACTCCCAGGTCAAATGATGGAAATGAAGAAAGATGTCTGGAACACAGAGGGCATTCTGAAGCCAGCCGATCGCTCTTTTAGCCAAAGTAAACTGGAAGTTATCGAGGAGGAGGAGGGAAAAGTTGTCCCAGATGAGGATAAACCATCCTCGAAAAGCTCTTCGTCTGAAAGGACTCCTGACAAGACTGATCAGAAATCAGGGGCCCAGTTTTTTACCCTGGAAGGCAGACATCCCGATAGATCAGTATTTCCCGATACTTACTTCAGTTACAAAGTAGATGAAGAATTTGCCACTCCTTTCAAAACAGTAGCTACCAAAGGTCTAGATTTCGACCCTTGGTCTAATAACCGAGGGGATGATGAAGTTTTTGATGGTAATAAATCCAGGGAAGATGAAAGTAAGCCGTTTGGTCTGGCGGTGGAAGACCGCTCTCCAGCAACAACCCCTGACACAACGCCAGCCCGAACGCCAACTGATGAAAGTACCCCAACTAGCGAGCCTAACCCCTTCCCATTTCATGAAGGGAAAATGTTTGAGATGACTCGCAGTGGTGCAATTGACATGAGCAAGAGGGATTTTGTTGAAGAGAGGCTCCAATTTTTCCAGATTGGTGAGCATACTTCTGAAGGGAAGTCAGGGGACCAGGGGGAAGGGGATAAAAGTATGGTTACTGACACCCCACAGCCACAGTCAGGGGACACCACTGTAGAAAACAATCTAGAGAGAAATGTAGAGGCAACGGCAGTGGAACCTAACCCCAGCATCCCGACCAGCGGAGAGTATCAGGAAGGCACAGCCAGTAGTGGCTCCCTGGAGAAAATCACAGCCACCTGTAACACCTCTAAAGTTGACCCCAAGTTGCGTACACCTATAAAAATGGGAATTTCTGCATCTACCATGACCATGAAGAAAGAAGGCTCTGGAGAAGGAACAGATAAGATGGAAGCTGTGATGACCAGTGGTCAGGGCTTAGAGAACGAGACAATGGCAGCGAATTCAAATCCAACCGGTAGCCAGATGGGCAGTAGGCCCCAAGAAAAACATGATTTTCAAAAAGATAACTTTAATAATAACAATAATTTGGATTCTTCCACTGTCCAGACAGATCACATTACAAGTCACGTAGTTCTGACAGAACAGTCGGCACCCACTTGTGTCACAGAGAAAACTAATCCAGTGAAAGGCTCCTCAGGAAAAAAGACAGGGGTACTGCAAGGACCCTGTGCCAAAGACAGGCAGAAAGCTCCCGGAGAACAGCAAAAGACAAAGGAATCAATAGGGGTTAGGCGAAAATCCAAGCTTCCCATAAAAGCCACTTCACCAAAAGATACCTGCCCAGCAAACCATATGCCAAACATGAAGGCAAGTAAAACAAAGCAGGTTAGTCGATCTGAGAAAACCAAAACCTTTACCACTTCTTCGTGTTTAGATACGAAGTCTCGGATTCCAGTAAAACACACACACAGGGAAGACCTAGTCTCAGTTAGGAAAGCATGCACCACACAAAAGCAAGGGCAGCCCGAGAAAGGCAAGGCCAAACAGCTTCCATCCAAGTTGCCAGTAAAGGTAAGATCCACCTGTGTCACCTCCACCACCACCGCCACCACCACCACCACCACCACCACCACAGTTAAAGTTAGGAGAAGTCAGCTTAAGGAAGTATGTAAACATTCCATTGAATATTTTAAGGGAATTAGTGGTGAGACCTTAAAGCTTGTGGATCGCCTCTCTGAAGAAGACAAAAAGATGCAGTCGGAGTTGTCCGATGAGGAAGAAAGTACCTCAAGAAACACATCGTTGTCCGAGACTTCCCGGGGCGGCCAGCCTTCAGTAACCACGAAGTCTACTAGAGATAAGAAAACAGAGGCAGCACCTTTAAAGTCAAAGAGTGAAAAAGCCGGCAGTGAGAGAAGGAGCAGTAGGAGGACTGGTGAGAATGAAGGCAGTCAGGTTTCCTGAGCGCTCTTTGCTCAACATCCCGGAGAACCAGCCTAGTTTGTAAACACTTTCCAACTTGTAGACTCTAGTGCATGAACTGTCGTGATTGCCTGTGGAGTGACTTAACCGTAGTTTCTCATGCTGTCATTGTCATCTGTATGTGCTGTCTTATCTACTCTTCTTTCTTCCTCTTAATCCAACTACACGGTAGACAGCTAGGGAAGCATGCTGAAGATGTACCTTGGTGTCGTTTGAGGCAAACAAACTATTTCTGATGTGCTCATGGCTATGATTCTGTCAAAGTAAAAGCACAGATGTGGAAATTCCATCGTGGTGTTCTCACCAGCCCAACAATGCTGTAACTGTTGTAAACATAGCTAGCTTATCAGCATGTTCAATCCCATTACATTCTGAACATCCATGTAGTCTGACATTTGGCTGATGTAGGCGGGGGGGAAGAACAAGTGAGCCAGGTGGTGAGGACATATCTAAGTGTATAGAGTTAGCCTTAGTCTCTCTGTGAACGCTGAGTACTGCTAAAAAGCAATTTTCCAATAGTGTGTCTGTCTTGATGATTATTTTAATTAAGAAATTGTAAATCGTAGGTCCACAGAGTCCATGTGAACGGACAGATATCAGGATGGCAATAGTAGCCGATCACCTGGGACTTAGCTGGACAGGTAAGTGTATCCACTCTTGATGGAGCAATTGAATGTCTTTGTCTTATTCACATGCAGTTTCCTTGTGTATTGATTTAAAGACAAAAAAGCAACTAGTAAAACATTTATTCATAATTCTATCTACCCAGAGATAATTTTTGAGACGACTTATATGCTATACTTTTGCCAAACTTTTTTCCTTTTGTGCTGGCACAGGGATTTGAGTTCAGGACTATATATTCTCACTTGGCTTCTTTTGCTAAAGGGCTGGCACTCCACCACTGGAGCCACACTTCCCAAACTATTTTTACACATAGAGTTTTTTTGGGGGGTTGGTCATGGGGTTTGAACTCTGGGCCTGGGCGCTGACCCTAAGCTCTTCAACTCAAGGCAAGGGCTCTACCACTTGAGCCACAGTGCCACTTCCAGTTTTCTGGTGGTTTATTGGAGATAAGCGTCGCACAGACTTCCCTGCCCAGGCTGGCTTTGAATCGTGATCCTCAGATCTCAGCCTCCTCAGTAGCTAAGATTACAGATGTGAGCCACCAGCGCCAGGCTCAGATATAAATTTTGTAAAATTAAATCCTATAAACAACCTATATTCTTCACAAAAATAGCTCTATGAGGCAACTCCATGCCTCCTTAACATAAGTTTTAGTCATTTATGAGCTATCACAATTTTCATGAAAGGCACACAAAATCTATACATTTACCTGATGCTACTTAGACTCACTTTTATGTTTACACATTTATGTAAAGGATTAACCTGCATTACTTTGAAATTAAAGAATAGTGGCAATTTTACAAAAAAGAGGAATGACAGTATTTAAACTTTGATTTAGATTTAAAAATATGTACTGAAAGAAATAGGCTTAACTTACCAAATAGTTGACTTCTGTGAAGCCATTTTATCACTGTTTTCAGAAGCAATATTTGTCTTCATTTGTCTTTGGTGATGAGCTGAACAATTCTGCTCTATAGTTTTGTTTTGTTTTTGTCAGACATGGGCCCTGAACTCTAGGCCTGGGCAACTGTCCCTCAGCTCTTCAGCTCAAGGCTAACACTCTACCACTTGAGCCACAGCACTACTTCCGGCTTTTTCTGTTTATGTGGTGCTGAGGTATCAAACCTAGGGCCTCATGCAAGCAAGGCAAGCACTCTACCACTGAGCCACCTTCCCAGCCCTGCTCTATAGTTTTAATCATATCAGGACCCTCAACTCCAACATCACAAGAATTTGAGGAGTTTTCACTCTTATAGGTTGTATTTTTTAATGCACTCTTAAAAAATGATAGTAAAATATTGATACATGTCATCTTACATACTTTCAGCAACATACGTTCCATTCAGTTAGGTTAGTAAAAGGGAAAATATGCATGTAAATAGTGAGAAACAAGTTCATCTAAATTTCTTCCTTTGAATGTCCTAAGTCCCCCATTCTATCCCCCCAATCCACTTGGCCCTCACCTGTCTCCATCCACCCAGGACAGAAGTACACTACTAGGAACCAGGAGCCTAGAGGAGCTCTGACAACATACGTGGTCTGAGTGATCCTTTACAGGTGGATGTGAGTTCACAGTGATGTGTTATGTATAAATATTTGCTGCAAGGTGTTATGAACTTAATAATTGTGTTTTCGCATTGTGCATTAATCTGATAATATACTGGAACAAATGTGGACTTTGCAGTCTTACAGTAGAATATAGCTATTAAGTTTTTCCTTAAGCCAACATAGCCCCTTACTATCTCAATAACTTTTCAGATGACCTAAGAGTTAGGCATGCTGAGGATGTAGCTCAATGGTAGGCCTGGGTTCCAGCGTTGAGCACCAGTAAAGCAATAAAATTAGTAAGATTCTTAGTATCCTTGCGTTTTCATTCTTGGTTCTCTAAACAGTAGATTAGTTCTGAAACCTTGGACAGTAGGTGTGTTGTTGCAACAAAGAGATAGAAAAAATTTAAAGAATTAACTTCTTTTTAAAATAAAGATTATTAGGAAAATAAGCATTAAATAGAACAAAATTTAAATCTACCTCGAGACCACCTTTAACATCTTATTTTGATTAAATAAAACAATTTTCTACTTTTCTACAAGATTATTCTCTAATTTTTAATGGATGAATTATATACCCAGTAAATCAATATATTTTCTAATAGTGTTTTTTCTCACAACACACTATGCTTTTAAAAAATACAAAAGAAAGTGTCTGTATATTCTGTGAATTAATGCTAAATTTTGCTCCATGGATATCTGGTCTTCTAGAAACACTATTTTTTTACAGTGTATTTCTAACTGCAGGCCATGATCACAGGAATTTGCAAACCTTACCTTACATTAATTCACTGTATTTCCTTTTATTCAACATGTAGATTGTATGTAAATCAAGTTACATCATCCCTATGCATGTCAAGATCAGTGAATAGGAAGTAAATCACTTAGTCAAAAGATAAGGACTCTTGAACATCTCCATTTCATCAAGTTGCTGGAAATACTTCTTACAGAAATATAATCTTGACATATACCCTTTCACAGGAAGAATTTTTCCCATCTCTTACTTTTTAATAATGATGTAAGGTAATACATACTTGATATTTTTAAGGCACACAGAATATATAGTGAAAAGTCTTAAGTTTGCTTCTCCTAATGCAGCCACTAATGCTCAGATTATATGAATCATTCCAAAGACCCTCTACATTTACTAGATTGAGTGTATATGGGTATGCATGGACAGAAAGCTAGCTCCCTTCTGTTTTTTGCTCGAGTGAATGCATATTACGTACATATTACATACAGCCTCCAGTCATTTAATCCCTTTGTGTAGAGTTCATGAAAGTTGAGAGGCATATAGAGTAGGACATGATGTAAGTAATCTTCAAGACAATTGCTTAGTGCAACCATACTGCTTGTATACAATTCGTTCAGATTGCAGAAATTTGAACTACAAGGATAGAGCAAGATCCTCTTTGTCAAAAACAAAAGATGTTTATCGACCTCTGAAAGAAATTTGATTACAAGTAATTACATACTGAGAGTTTAGTCATAGCCTGACTCTAATCACTAGTTTCCTACAAAATCAAGTACATGAAAATGAATTAATGCCCAAGGCTATCCTAGTGAATTTTTAAAATATAAAACTTTTTTCCTTGGCAGCAGTTAAGCATTACTTTTATAAAATGTATGTGAATATGCAATCTTAGTAATTCTCTTTCTTTTTACAGAACTGGCAAGGGAACTGAATTTTTCAGTGGATGAAATCAATCAGATACGTGTGGAAAATCCAAATTCTTTAATTTCCCAAAGCTTCATGTTATTAAAAAAATGGGTTACCAGAGACGGAAAAAATGCTACAAGTATGCTAAAATTTATTTTAACTTTCAAAGTGACATGTGGTCAATATTTTAGATAAGCCTGTTGTTAGGCATTCAAATATTAGTTTAAATTTTATATAATTTTAATGATATAGAAAAGTAAAAGTAGAGTGATCATAAAGTATCTTGAGACTTTTGAAATTATACTTAATTCAGTGCTAATGTTTTACAGCTCTGGTTTTGGGAGTCTTTTTAGAAAAGTAGTAGGCATTTTGCTTTTGGGTTTTTTTTTCGTTTTGTCTGTCATTTTGTCCATGATAATGAAAACATAATTCTAGCTTCTAAGCCATGGGATGGTCATGGGAAAGTGTGTAGAAGTGCAGAGAGAAGGATTAGTCCAATTACAGGAACCATGTAGCTGTATTTGGCTCCATCTTTGACATCAGAGAATTCTCTGGTATTGTTGGATTTGGTAGGTAGTTGGGGGCAGGACCAGCGGGGTTAGAAATGGTGTTGTACTTAGGCTAGTGCTAACCTATCACGATGTGGAATAAGTTACTGTGGGCTTGCCTGTGTCAGACTGACCTTAGTAATTCATTAAAATGCCTTATATGTGGAGATATCTTATTTTCACATTATGAAAGGAAAGGGAACTTATTTCAAGTTGTATTACATCTAATGATAACCAGAAGGAGTGCAGGTGTTTTAAGGCCTGTCTGCCTCATTACAGTGGAATGGACTGAGCCCTACAAAGACATTCTTCCCTGTAGGAGCAAGCACTCTTTGGTGGTTTGCATAATGACATTGCTAGCTGGAGAAAGAGGAGCTGAAATGCCAGGAGGGTACAAAAGCCATGCCTTTGTATGGAAAGTGTGTTGAGTAGAAGAAAGAAATTTAATTGGGTTCACAACCTTTTGTTTTATTTTTTCTCCTTTTCAGCTGATGCCTTAACTTCGGTCTTGACAAAAATTAACCGAATAGACATAGTGACTCTACTAGAAGGACCAATATTTGATTATGGGAATATTTCAGGCACCAGAAGCTTTGCTGATGAAAACAATGTTTTCCATGACCCTGTTGATGGTAATTGAATTTAGTGTTCATATTTATTGAATTGTTTTGAGAAAATTCGACAAGGTGTTCACTTAAAAGCAACTGAATTGTGATGTGTGCTTGATATAATTTCTCATTTATACAGCATTTTTTTCTGCCAGAGTCTGCAAACAAGCACTCTGATCACAGAGCAAACTTGGTAATGCCTTTTTTATGTCACACAGGTGACAAAGTCTGAAAGTACAAGTTAACCTGAAAGACGTTGATACTGCTAATGTTTTATTTGCCCAAATGAAAGAGGGCTTAATACCTAGAAAATGCACTGCACTTGTCATTTGTCTTTTATCTTAACATAAAACCTGCACCTCATTTATTCATATATAGGTGAAACTAAATTGTGATTTCATTTTTACCAAATAAGCTGGGTATTGAGTCAAGTTTAAGCATATACATGTATGTATACAATATACGTTATTGTTCAAGTAAAATGATAAGTTACCACTCTAGGACCAAGTATTTAAACATATACTAGAAAAGTATAATGTATCAAAGATTTTTATTTATTTAGCATTATCTTAACTTCATATTCTACCAATTGCTCTTTGGAAAATTTCTGTTTTATCCTGTCTAATAGGCAGTGTAATTGCTAGCACAACAAACATAAATGTCAACAATAATATACTTGGTTAAGTTATATAATGTTGTCATCTTCCCTTTAATATGTAAATTGAGGCTTTACCATCAAAGCATAATAAATATTTTACTGTATTTTTCAAAATAGTCTTGTTTTACCTTCACAATTAGGAACTGATTCTTAGAATGAATTTTGTCTAGAAAATGTTGATAAAGGCATGAAGACAGTGATATTTTGGAAAATAGGAATTTTTAAGTAGCAAAGTTAAGAGTAACAAGAGTCATTAACTTCTAATTATTTGTTATATGAGAAAAGATCTTAAATTCTTAGAAGGTGACTATGTAAAGTTTCTGCACAAAATGATAGAAAATTTGAAGTATATCTATGTCCAGATAAATACCATGAGTAATAAATCGTTTTTTAAGTTTAAAAATAGCATAGAACCTTGGGAAATGAGTTCTGTTCAAGGCTTTGTTTTACATATGGCATCCTATGAATAAGCAAACTGCTTTGCCATAGATAAATATCAGTCTTTGTTACAGAAAACTCTGAATGATTGGAATGTCTTAGTTTATAGGTTCTTCCAGTATTTTTCATTGGTGTGGGGGGGGGGGGGGGGGGACTAAGACAGCTGGCTAGAATAAAATGTCACCAAACACTAACAGTATTATGTTCTTGGAGGTGTCACTTAATTTTAACATTTTCAAATCAAAATATCAAATAGTTCACAAGGGCTTTTTGTTGTCTTTCTATATTGAGATATAAATTTTCTTAGGGAAGTTAAGAAATGAAATAAATTTCACTTACCTCAATTATAAAGCTCATCTAATCTTAGGAAAATCATGACCATAACTAAAAAATGTTTAATCTAAGTTGATATATAGCCTTGGATTGATGGAAAAATTAGTCTTCAGTTTGTAAATCAAGAAGTTCAGGATATGCACATTTTTTTTTCTTGTCTCTCCTCTTCGATGAACTTTTGGGAAACCTCCTTTCCTCACCATGACCAGACCACTGTTAACTTTTCTCTCTGCTAAGGCAGAAAAAACACTTCTATAGACCACACAGTTATGTTTAAACCAAAGGATTAGCTCCCTCCTCCCTTTTGGATAGACTAATTACTAAACTTGGCTTCACAGCATCACATGAATATTCAGGGAACTCTTTGCAAATGGTTTTCCACCTTATCTTTTTTGTATGTCTTTTTTTTCTGTCTATTTTATTTGTGGTTCTAAGTGGACTCCATCACCAACTTCACCAAGCCCTTCCATAGACACCACATCCCTTTTGTCTCTGTCACATTATAATACTGAAAAACTTCACTTGGAGTCTCTTCTATTTTCTGTACTTTTTAAGTCCTTTTTCCTAACATCTTTTTAGATTTTTTTTTTACCCAGTGCCACTGCTCTAAAATCTAATAATCATTTATTTCCAAAGATTAAGTTCATTTTCCTTTCCTATAACTTTTTAGTAAAACAAGAATTATAGTTGGGTGGCATTGATTATATGTATAGTTTTTTTAAAGCTATAGGCAATTACAAATTGGTTTCTTGTGGCTTTACTGTATTCAGTCTACCACAGTAAAAATTTTGCATGCTAAAACTAGAAAGATAATTTGACAATGAAATAAATGTCTTATTTATGGCAACTAACTTTATATTCAATTAAATTCATCTGTATACTTAAGTTACTGTATTAAAATTACCAAAATTGATAGAAATAGCTATACCTTAATTCATGTTGTATTTTATTGTAGTTTGCACTTGGCTTTTTATTTTACTTAATGAACTAAACCAATAAATTATCCACATTCTGTAACTCATCGTGCATTTTCATATCTGATATAATTTTAGTCATTCCATGTGTTTTTATTTGATGTATGCTAATTCATTCCAGTCAGTCCAAATGTACTGTCTTCCATAGGTTATCCTTCCCTTCAAGTGGAACTGGAAACCCCTACAGGGTTGCACTACACACCACCCACCCCTTTCCAGCAAGATGATTACTTTAGTGATATCTCTAGCATAGAGTCTCCCTTTAGAACCCCCAGTAGACTGAGTGATGGGCTAGTGCCTTCCCAGGGACATATAGAGCATTCAGCAGATGGACCTCCAGTGGTAACTGCAGAAGACACTTCCTTAGAAGACAGCAAACTGGAAGACTCAGTGCCTCTAACAGAAATGCCCGAAGCAGTGGATGTAGATGAGAGCCAGTTGGAGGATGTCTGTCTGAGTGAGTATCCTCAATACCTCGGAAGTTTGCCTGGGGTCCCAAAAGATGTTAAACCAACAGAGCCATTGAAACAAACTAGAAAAGTAGGCATAAACCCTGAGCAGCAGGAGAAAGGAAAATCTGGTCCTGATGAGGAGATGACGGAAGAAAAACTCAAATGTCTGTTTGAAGACATTCAACTTGAAGAAGGAATTGAGTCTGAGGAGATGACAGAAGAAAAAGTACAGGCTATTCTTAAATGTGTTCAGCAAGCAGAACTGGAAATGTCTTCAATTACAGGTTGGCAGAACGAGACATCAAGCGGAAACCTTGAGTCCCCTGCCCAAGCTCGAAGAGTAACTGGTGGGTTACTAGACAGACTGGATGACAGGTATGGAAAATGTTCAGGACAGCTTACCTTTAAACCATTTTAGATTTTTTTTTTTTTTTCCGGTCATGGGGCCTGAACTCTGGGCCTGGGCGCTGTCCCTGAGCTCTTCAGCTCAAGGCTAGCACTCTACCACTAGAGCCACAGCGCCACTTCTGGCTTTTTTTTTCTGCTTATGTGGTGCCAGGAAATCGAACCCAGAGCTGCATGCATGTAAGACAGGCACTCTACCAGTGAGCCACCTTATCAGCCCTAGATTTTTGTTTTTAAACAGTGACTTGTTTTCTAAATTACAAGTCCAGTTTGAGTATATGCTTGTTTTAAAAGCTGGTTCCTAATCCAATCTAGCTAGGCAAAGTGATTTTAAAGTCAAGTGTAATTAATTCTCGAAAAATTTGAAAAGCCAGCAAGAAGTTAGATACATACCAAAGATCTATTTGTTGGCTTTAAAAGACTACTCTTCCCTAGTTGTTATTCTTTCCATATAGCAAGTAATTAATATTCACTTAAAATAAGAAAAGACCAAATCTTTTATAAGTATTAACACTTCTCATTTCCTAACTGTAAACACAAACATGCTACTTACACAATATATATCAAAATAAAAAATTTTTAATTATTAAAGTTTCACTATTTAGCAGTAAGCACCATTAACATTTTTGTTGAAGTCCTGGAAATGAAGCACATGCCTTTTCTTTTTTTTTTGGTGCTAGTCCTGGGGCTTGAACTCAAGGCCTGAGCTCTCCCTGAGCTTTTATGCTCATGGTTAGAACTCTACCACTGGAACCACAATTCTGTTTCTGGGGTTTTGATGGTTAATTGGAAGGAGATACAAGTCCCATGGACTTTACTGCCCAGGTTGGCTTTGAGCCTCAATCCTCAGATTTCAGCTTCCTGAGAGGCTACGATTGCAGATATAAGCTGCTAGTTCCTAGCTATGTTCATTTTTTTAAAAGAGCCTCAATGTAGGTAATACATAGAAGCAAAAAAGAAATCTGTCTTCCTAAGGAAGTTTCCTTAAGGAAAACACTTAACACTTTATGTGTCCTTCCTTTTTTTCTACATATACTTCTTTACTCAAAGAATATGTAAATATTTTAAAATAAACATTTTGGTTATAACAAAATAACTCCCTAAACATGATACTGGCTCATTTTTTTTTATTTACTGGCTGTGCTCTAGAAAGATAAATTTAAGAGTCACCAAAACACTGGGGGAACTCAACACCATTAGATAGCAGCTCATTCACAGTTACACATGCTTGAAGTCTGAGAATGACATTTTAATCATCCTGTACTACTGCTTCCTTCAAACATGTTTATAGATCAAAAAACCTCATACCAAATGATTTTTACAAATAGCAATCTCTTCATAATAGTAGGTATTATTTTGATTTACCAACACATAGGACTAAAAGATATTTTATTGGTAAGTAATGGTAAACTCAAGTTGGATATCAGAAAACTTGGTATTATTACATAACAAGTAGTAATTTCATATTGCTGATAAGCCACTTACTCATTAAAATGCCCCAAAACTTGATAAAGTTTTTAAGAGCCAAGAGTTCATAAAACATTTGAGAAATGAAGTTATCAAAAAGAGGCTACTGAAAAAGATGACAAATAGTACTAACTTTGAATGTCTATGTTCAGATATAGTTATATATCTTATCTTTGCATATCAAACCATTTTAGATACAGGAAAGGTGTTCAATATTATTAAACTGGCTGAAGTCCCTTGTTTGATGTAAGCTCTGCGAGCAAATTACATAGGAAAAAAAACTACTGTGGGGATGGAAATGTGCCTAATGGTAGAGTGCTTGCCCCTAGCATGCATAAAGCCCTGGGTTCGATTTCTCAGTACCTCAAAAACAGAAAAAGCCAGAAGTGGTGTTGTGGCTCAAGTGGTAGAGTACTAGCCTTGAGCAAATGAAGCTCAGGGACAGTGCCCAGGCCCTAGCATTGGCAAAAAGAAAAAAAAAAATTACTGAGTACTATTGTTCCAGAAAAGCTAGAAAGTGACAGCCAGTTTGCTCCTAAGTAAACATATGTAGGCTAAGGGAGCTTAGATAAAATGTAGACTTAGAAGGAAAATTTAACAGATGTTATACGATCTTCCCAGTAACAGAGATTGTGTTTAACTGGGTGCTGGTGGTTCACTCTTGTAATCCTAGGCACTCTAGAGGTTAAGATCTGAGTATCCCAGTCCAAAGCCAGCCCAAGGAAGAAAGTCCATGAAGCTCCTATCTCCAATTAAGCACCAAAAATGCCAGAAGTGGCACTGTGGCTCAAGTGGTATAAAGCTAGCCTTCAGTAAACAAGCTCAGGAATAGCAGCCAGGCCCTGTTCCAGACTAGCACAAAAATACGTAAAGGTGTTCAGATGATCAAAATTTGATTTAAAAAGAATAGGCACGTGCATTTATACATCATACATATAAAATATATAAAATACTGCACCCATTATTTTTGACAGGTAATAAGCAAAGACATTAAAAACAATATGCAAGCTACAAAATTAAGTGAATAGTCTGTACTGAAACTACAGTGTAGAAAATGAAAGATTTCTAATAGTTCAAGACACTAGTCCTCACAGTAGGTAGCAAAAGGATGCTCACGGACACTGGTCATGAATAGAGAAAGATGAGGTTCCATTAAAGGTGTTAAGAAGTGAAAAGGAATGGCACCTGGATCTGTAACTGAAAACCTACAAAGAATGAAAAATGGGGATTCTTAGAGATGGTTGCCAGAATTTCAGCTCAAGGATTAATTTCATTCTTTGTCGGGAGGTGGGTGCTCTTTGTGGTTTGATTTTGTGTTTTCCCAGTGTTATAACAGCATTTTGAAATAGCCTATCTTTTGGATTGGTGTGGTTGGACTGTAAGTATGTCCAGGAGCATTTTTCAAGATATGGAATTTAGCTTTTAGAACTGCAGTTTTCTTTTTTTTTTAACAAAAGATGTCAACATAAGTAACCAAGAAGATGGGAGTTCAAAGTTTAGAGGGTACTTAGAGCCTCTGCGGACCCCTCAGACCTTACCCCACTCATGACAGCCCCTAACATCTTAAATTCAGTAACCAGGTTTGTCATGCCTTCAGAGAGACAGAAAAATTTCATTGTTGTAACTTCAGAGCCTCTGAAGGCATTCTGGGAGCCACGGGATGCCATTGTAAATTTGCACGTTTTCTCTTTTGCAGTCCTGACCAGTGTAGAGATTCCATTACCTCATACCTCAAAGGGGAAGCTGGGAAATTTGAAGCAAATGGAACCCATGCAGAAGTCACCCCAGAAGCAAAGACAAAAACTTACTTTCCTGAATCCCCAAATGATATAGGAAAACAGACCACAAAGGAAACTCTGAAGCCAAAAGTACCCGGATCGGGTGGAGCTGAGGAACCAGCATTACCACTCACAACACATCAGAAATCTCTGGAAGAAACCAGCAAGTTTGTAAGAGAAGAGCCTAAACCCTGTGTGCCTGTCAGTATGAAAAAATTGAGTAGGACTTCTCCTGCTGACGGCAAACCAAGGCTTAACCTCCATGAAGAAGAGGGGGCCAGTGGGTCTGAGCCAAAGGTATGTCATCTGATCATCTCTATGCTCCCATTGAAATTGTCCTGAGCACTAGACTCAAGATTCTTCACCATTTCTAAACCTGGGGAAAGTTGTAGCAGAGAGGTAGAAAGTAAAATATGTGCCATTTGGTCAAACCCTCCTTATATGATAGGGAAAAGGAATCAACCTATCTAGCCATTTTCAGGAGAGAAAAACCATGGATATAATAACTACCTTCGAGTCTAGTATTAATTCTAGTTAGAGTTTGTCTCCTTACTCCAAACAAGTCTTCTTTTTTCCTGATAAGTGAATGAGATCTCCAGTCCTTTTTTTTTTTTTTTTTTTGGTCCTTCAAACTATAGAACACCTGACGCACACCCACTTTAATGTTTTATTTTCTGAAAGTAGCTTAAAAATTGCATAGACATAATTTCCAAACCTAATGTAAGAATGCAAGTGAGTTGATAGCAGTCAGCAATTTAAAGTTAGAAATATCCATTTTCTGAGTTGGTAACTGACACTTTTTTTAGTCATTTTAAAACCTTACTCTAATAGAATTGTTCGATTGCACTTTGTGTTGATATGTAACTACTTAAGCACTTAAGACCTACTACAATATTTTGAGAGTGAAAAAAAAAACAAATCTAAAACAATGGTTCTTGATTACTTGAAGTTTAGGAAACCGTATTGTAAACTCCCAGTTCCTTAGAAGCCAGCCAGTGGTGTGTCAACTAATTGTATCTTATGATAATGTTCCTGTTTCTTAAAGGGAAAAGTGAGAGGAAGTAAAATCTTAATCCATCTATTTCTTCTGATTTCCTTGTTGATTTTAGAATATAATTTAAGCAAATGATTACCATAATCCGTAATGAAACATCAAATGGATGCTTTGAGTCTGTCTTGGGCCTTTGATTTCCTGACAAGAATGGTTTTCAGTTCTGATTTCTGTCTGACTTGATTCCTGCTGCTTTTTAAGGAGCATGAGTATGGGTGGATATTCCTTTTAATTGATATATAATCAAGTATGTTCTCTTTTAAGACAAGCCCACAAAAATATAAGCAGAAGCAATGGCATTGTGATAGGCTATTGTAGAAAAGACTCTTCCAGGTAAACTACTAAATGACAAGTGACGGCTCTCACCTGTCATCCTAGCTATACAGGAGGTTAAGATCTGGGGATCATGGTTCAAAGCCAGCCTGGGAAAGAAGGTCTGTGAGACCCAGCTCCTCTAAGCTTCCAAAAAAAAAAAAAAAAAGCCAGGAGGGAGCTGCAGAGCTGCTAGACTTAGCAAAAGAAGCTCAGGGACAGTTCCTAGACCCTGAATTCAAGCCCTAGGAATGATACAAAAAAAAATCAACAGAAAGGTTCTGAAAGTAAGGATGTTGCTATGTGGGGGCATACCTTTGGGTCACTGGGGAAACCCTGCTGGCATTGGCATAATGAGGGTTGAAAATGAAGGTCTTAACTTTGAATAGAAACCCAGCTAAGTTCATGAGTAATCGGAAATAATTTCTATTAGAAAACACTCTCATAAATGTTTAATTTCTTATAAATGGGTCTGTGCCTTTGGTGTTAGTTACTAGTCCTATTCTCATGTCTGAAGACCTCATGAACATAAAAACCCCTAATGGAGTAAAAGCTCCAGGGAAAAATGAGTTCAACCTCACAAGAAATCCAAAAATATTCAGGTGAGTTTGTGGTTCTGCCATTAGGACAGTAGCAAGCAACCAGGCCATCTGATGTATATTCTCAGAAAACAGCCCCCTTTTTATCCCCTAAAAAATCAGGTCAAAAGTCCGGGTGCGGCTCTTACAAGGATGACCACCTGCTGTTACAAGGTAAAATTCTGCTATTTTTCCACCTCGTTTCCTGCAGTTACACTGAGAAAATTCCATTTGTTTTCCGAGGTCATCTTTTACCAATTCCTCCAGAAGTCTCTGAAAGGAATCCAGATTCTAAGATTTTCTTTGGGCTTCTCTCTTCACCTTAAGACTGGCAAAGCCGTATTTTAGGGAGAAAGACATTGACCAAATGGCCGCTTTTCCTTTATGGAAGGGGGCTAGTCTCAAAGGATTCCTTTATTTTATGTTGGAGTGGGTACTGGGGCTTGAACTCAGGGCCTCATGTTTTCACTTCAGCTTTTGTGCTCAACGCTTTGCACACTACCACTGTGCCGTATCTCTACTGCTTGCTTTTTGCTGAAAAAAAAAAATTGGAGATAGTAGTCTCACTGATTTTTCTGCCCAGGATGGCTTCAGACTACTCCAACTCATAATTAGCTAGGATTACAAGTGTGTCAGTGGGTTCATCATAGTCTTATTATCTAGGTTTGTTGTTTGTATTTGTATTAAATATGCTGTTCAGCTTTTGAAGCTACATAAGCAGATTTCCCCACTTAAGATTGCAGGCATAGAAAACTTCAGTTCATTCAACCCATTCATTCTGCAATGCTGATCAGTCTTTTCATCAGTATGGATTCCTCTTACCTGTCTACCTTTTTGAATTATGAAGCACCTCCTTTAAATAATACCTTAAATTATTTTCAATACCCCAAATTTGCTACTCTTTCTGAAAGATTTTAAAATACAGTAGAAAATTTTGTTTTCAAGTTCTTATTATTTACAAAGTTAGCAGCTATGTTACCACCTTCTGAAACCAAATTTTTCAATGAGCTAATACTTTCTATTTTTAATACTTAAGTTTGCCTTTGGTGAAAAAAGTCTAGTTTATTATCCAACTAATATTTTCATAAATCATATTACCTATACTTTTATGGCAATATTAGCATGTTCTCATCATTTTTACAAATATTACCATTCACTTCTCCAGTGGGTACTAGATTTGTGGCAAATACCAGTATGCCCTTACAATTAGAAATAAAGTCATCTAGTAAATACTCTTCACCATCACTTTCAAATAGAAGCTTTAAGATATTTGCCCCTTTGAATTATAAACTATTTGACATTGATAAGTTTTCCTGATTTCTACCCTTTTTAGATAAAATAATATTTTGTGCTATTGGTACTGTACTTCATTTTTGTTCGAACTTTAATTTTAAATTCTAATTTTATACTAGAGCTTTACAAAAGATGTAAGTCCCCAATACAATGTGTATACTGATGTAAATTTTTTTTAAACTTTGGATAAATTTGACCATAGTATTTTTATTTAAATCACAAACTCTTTCTGTACGCAAGTTAAATATTGCCTAAACTACAAGGCTATACATTCAAGTCAATGGAATATAGATTTGACACTAGTTTAAAGGGCAGATGAGTATCTTTTCAAATGGATTTAGAATCAAAAGAGCTGTATTGTTATTTTTTAGAATTTATAACTACCTTGATCTTCACCTGTGTATCATATACATACATGTATATATATAGTATATATATATAGTATACGTGTGTATATATAGTATACGTGTACATATATATAGTATACGTATATATATATAGTATATGTATATATAGTATATATATATAGTATACATATGTATACTATATATATGAGAGGTTAGATATGAGATCAATATATATTTAAATCCTGACATTTTCTTCTTCAAATGTATTTTAGGATTCTCACAAATATATATCATGATGTTCCTTAGTGGGGGGACAGACTTCAAGGAAATGTAATTCTTTCTTGCTTTCCCTTCTCAGAATGTCTTTTATTTTAAATGTGATGGTAAAGTTATACTAAAAATACATTTATCAGGACTTAAGAGACAGCGAGAGTGGTTCAGGCTCAGAGGAAGAACAGAGAGTCACCACCCGGGTTATTTGCCGCCGTTTTATTATAAAGGTATTCTGTGGCTGGATCATAGTAGGACTTTGCTATGGTAACCAGAAACTTCTTGTGTGTGGTTTTGAAAGTTCAGCATGCTTTTTAACTAAATGGTTCTGCGTATGTTTCTTCATATACCTGAACGCTTATGAAAAAGACAACCAAAAGGAAAGCCAGGCTGTGTGGTAGTGAGTGTTCTGTGTGGCCTTGACATGTGTCCGTTGTAATTGAGACTTGCCAGCATTTGCATCCTGCTTTTCTCAGGGAAGTGTCATATGCATGGACAAAAATTCTCTCTTGCTGGTAGCTAAAACGTCAGACTAATGAAGTAAGATAAAGGAAAATGAAAAGCCTTCCTTCTCTGTCTCAAATTATTACTGCCATAACTTTTTAAGTGGAAATCAGTGTTTCATTATCAGTCATTGGCTAAGAATTTTAGGTTACAGGTTAGTATGGATATAGTGACATAGTGCAATTCTTTGAAAATTTCTGAAAGAAGCTTTCACAGATTCTTGTGCATGGAAGTATAGTTGAGTAAAGAAACGAATGTTTGCTAGAAATGAAAAATGTAGTTCCCCCCTATAGTATAGCACAATAGAAAGAAACTGTGAATGCATATTCTGCATACACCCACAAAGGTGTCTCTCACTAGAACGCAGCCTACCACTGTCCTGAATACTCCGTGAGCTCTTTCTTGATATTAGAATAATAATACTTAGAACTAGGAAGCCATCTCTAATACACAGAGCTATGAATGTGATCCATTAACTTGAGACTCTCATTAATAGCTCTGCAGAAAGGAAAAGACATATTTATTGGATGACATATTTATAAAACAAACACAGCTATTCAGGAGGCAGAGAGCTGAGGATCCCAGTTCAAGGCCAGCCTGGGCAGAAAGTCTGTGAGACTCTTAGCTCTAAGCTCCAAAAAATGTGGAGGTAGAGCTCCAAATTAACAGCAAGCTCAACAAGGTTCCCTCAAAAAGAGCATGAATCATGAATCACTTCTTTGGAAATTATGCACAGGCAAGACAAATACTGTTTTTGTGTGCATCTAGCATATTTGGCAATCTTCAACTTGCTATCTTAAATTCATAATCAGGTCTCTGGACTATAACAGGTGTGAATATGCAGGTGTATTTTTTGGAAGGTATTAAAGCCAGGCCTGATCTTTCACTATTCATTTCATAATTTTCCTCATGGCATTTCTATTTTCCTCAAGACATTTCTATTTTCAAGTGAAACATCTTGAAAAAAGCACACCAGACATCCTATTTTTAACTTGCTTTGTATGCTTAACATGTGACATACTTGTGTTACATCCAAACCTACCTCCCTCATTTATAATTCTTGTCCTTTATGAAAGTAGACTGTCCTCTGTCAAAGACAGAATAAACAATTGTGCAAAAGCCAAATAAAATTGGCGGGCAAGGAATAAAGAAAAATTTTCCTAAAGAAGACAAAACAAGAACAACACAGTACCCCTAGGTCAGTCATTTCCTAGCCAGTCTAGTCACGAACCAGCAGCAAGCTAGCTTTTAAGTCAGTTTATTACTTAAGTATTTGAGCTTCACATGAGCTTACTTGTGTATAAGGCATTAGTGTATTTTAAAAGGCCCTTGAGTTTGAAAGAGCAAAATAAACTATGATTCTATAGGCTTTGTAAAGCAGGCACCTCCTCAAATTCCACTGCTTGGCAGCTGGTGTAATTTTTAGGGAGAATAAGTAGAATCATCCGTGAATGGGTCTTATAACTGGGAAGAGCATTGTATAAACAATAAAATCATTTGCCAATGAGCTTTAAGAAATATCCTTTATATATGACAGAGAAACCAAAAGCTAAAGACTACCTGTAATGATCATTAGAAGTTATAAGTATAGCAAAGAAACTTTAGGTTGCTTATCTGGGACTCTTTCCAGTCAATATTTTTCTGTTCAGACTTTTGGAGCAGGTAGAATCACATTTCCGGTGTTTTTCTCCTAACTCCATATGTTGATGTCTTTCTATCCTCACTCTAGATGTCAAAGTTCAAGGACTACATTAGAATATGATCAGTATGACATAGGAATGATCTTGTTGAGAAATAACATGGGAATGTTAAGATCTAAGAGGTCAGGAGACCAAAATTCTATTTCCTAGATGACAAAGCTGAAGCTCAGAAGTGAATTGACTTAAAAATCTCCGAGCTGAGCAACAGCAGTTCTGGGATCAGAACCTACTTCATACCTTGATCCTCTCCTGAAAGCTTTGCCCCACAACACTATGTTCCTATTGAAAACAGATGAAAAGGGAAACAGAGTACCTCCTCTAGGCTAAATTGTACGTTTGGTCATGCAAGCCTTACCAGTGGCACAGGAGAGGGTGGCACTAGGCCTCATGGTGGAAAAACTAGTTGATGAGGCTGAAATGCTAAAAATTTTACCTACCTCATGGCTATTGTCCAACCCTGAATTAAACTGGCATAGTTACACCATTTATCTTAGTAATCTCTCTAGCACTCGTATCTCAGTGCTAAAAAACTTCGGGTTATTCTGTCACTTCCAGAGCTAGCTTTAGCTTGAAAGCATCTCTGCAGAGAAACAATTCTGTTGCCACAGCCTGGGCAAATCTTCTCAGCATTCAGTTTATATAATAAATAAGGTGACGGTACAATTTTATGGCTTTCTCATTGACTTTTTATGAAGTGGTTAATTTTTTAACATAACATTTTCAAATTTCTGGAATAAGTTAAAAGTTCCACGGTGAATGGGAGAATATGCAAAACTTTACTAGCATATTTGTTTATTTGTATGTAGTTGGAGTAACACCACAGTTTCAAAAGCTTAGAAGCAACTTATTAATTTGTGAGTTACTTTACCTTGTTTGCTTACCATATGCAGTTATTTCAAAGGTAAAACCCTTCATTGAACTCATAGCCAAACTACTGTGATGTTTGGTTAATATTCAAATAACTGATTTTTTCAAGTTTTAATGATTTTTTTCCTAGCTTGTAGTTGTGTTAACACATTTTCCCCAAATCACACAATTTAGAAGTCTATTAATTTCTGTA